CAAACAACAACATTATCATTCATTTAGAGACTGGACACCTAGTGAACATAAGTGCAATGTTGACTCTCCTTTTGCTCTCTACCAACTCCTTAGTAAAATATCTGGCTCTTTAGCTGCTAAAATCACCAGCTAGTCGTAGTCTACATGGAGTTTTTAGCCTCCTGCTGTGGCTGCAAATGAGGTCAATGAGAGAGAACCAAAACACAAAGAACGCTCCATAGAGCTAAGCAGAGTTTGGTAATAATTATCTGTGTGTTCTTCACCGTGCCATGTGATCAGTTTTCATTATAGAAACATTGATTTTAGATATTTCATATCTCGTTGAAATGAAAAAAGAATTCAGATATGCTGAACACATTTTTCCACCTCCTCCTCGCTAGGTGACCCTCCTCCATGTGGAAAGTGATGAAAAGTTAATGTCCTCCCATTATTTCAGAGTTGACAGCTCAGTAAGAAATGTCACACTACACGTCACTGGCATCCTGATAGAGAGCATCCTTACCAGTCCGTCAGGTAACTGTACTGTAGGTAACTTTACATTAGGTAGTATGCTATACAAATATAAGCTGTTGAAGGAAGCTATTTTCAAGTAGCATTAGTTGTTTTATTCTGGGAACTGCACTCACTTGCTCATACAGTCTTCCTCTCCTTGTTAGACCAAAGCCAGTCTCTGTTGAGCAAGCAAGGCCCTCTGGCAGAGATTGAGCACTTCAAGGGTCTGTACCGCATCAGCCTGCTCTCTCCTGTACAGCCAGGCCAGTGGAAACTCCAAGCCAGGAGTGACGGGCACCTCACTTTCAATGTCATAGGTAAAAAGGAAAAAAACATGCTGGACAAATCCACTAACAGATAACTACCACTACATTAGTTATTATGTAGCTACACTTGGACTGAAAAGAGACGTGTCTTTTGATCTGCACTCTCAGGCGACAGTAGTGTGGATTTCCTGTATTACTTTGCCACTGTAACCAATGAGACACATCCAGGTCTGGCCAGAGTGGAGGGTAGTCCAGTAGCAGGTAAGGGATTGTCATTTTTCTTCCTAGTATAATTAATGACGTATCGGTCTCATAACCAGGAAATGTCTCTGCCATTTAGCGAAACAGCCATGTTCCTGATTAAATTTCCTAGGCGTTCCGGCCTTTCTGGTGCTGGCTGTGACGGGCCTGGCTCCAGATGAGGAAGCGTCTTTCAGTCATGTGACGCTACTGGGAGCTGACGGGGAGAGCCTCCAGCAGGTGAAGCTGAACTCTTCCTCTTCCTTCTCATCTCTTTCATCCTACTCTGTGGAGGAGCTGGTGGGATGGGTAGGTTCTGTTCCCAGAGACCCCTTCTGTGTTAAACTAACAGGCCGAGACGGCAGAGGAAACAAGCTGGAGAGGGTTTCCACAGAGATGGTTCAGCCCACTCATGTTCAGATACAGGTAATTGTAATGCCAAATAAGACATTCTGCTGACATCTGAAATACCTAAAATCTGCTCTTACTGGAAATGAATGGTTAATTTAATTTAAATTCTGTTGAACATGGTTTATGGATGTTTGTTCCTAGGATCTGTTCTGTGAAATGATTTCAGTGACCACCACTTTAAAGCTGCACCAATCAATATTTGTATAGAAAAAACAGAAAAAAGCAACTACACATAATGTGAAAAGTGTCACAGAGAATGATCACCTGATTATGCAGTTCCCCTCAGCATTTTAGCATCATTTTCACTCCTGTTTTGATTTCATGGCCCACAGCCTTACTTACAGGCAGCTGGTTTCAGAAAAAAAAAAACTCTGATAACCCCATTGTACACTACCTTCCCAGCACTGAATAGTAGACAGAAAGGTTTGAAACTAAAAAGCTAAAGAGCCCGATATTTCCCTCAAGAGAAAAAAATTAATGAATGTTGCGTCATATCTGCTAGATGTGTAAATAGGAAAATGTATGCACTTGTGTTAACGTAATGCTGTATGTCAGTGTGGTGTTTACAGAGTTGTTCTGCCCCCATGTGGACAAAAATCTATTTTTGCTGCTGCTTCAACAGCACCAATGGAAAATAATGTAGCAGCTAAACTGCTGGTTGTGCCACAGCAGCTTCAGCTCATATCTGCATATAATATTTCCTAGTTTGTGTGTCAATATCTCCTCAGGTTTTGTCTGTCCCCCGCCTGGTACCTGGTCACAGCACAATGGTGGACTTTGACATCCTGAACCATGGCCCGGCCCGACTCTTCAATCTGACGGCTGATGATGACTGTGGATATGTTCAGAAGAGAGGACCTCATAGGTAGAGCAAAAAAAAACAAAAACTGTACAATTCTTCTCAACCACTGAGTAAACAGCCATTTAATTTCTTACCTCACTTTGCTATCATGTAGTCTTACGAATATGATATTAGAAAAGAACATTTCATACCTCTTCTTTTCTGTCCCTCAGTTTCCCTGTTGCAGAACAAGGATCCTTCCGCGGTCAGGTGGACCTCCACACTCCTGCCACAGCTCAGGCCGGAGCAACTGTCACCCTTACACTCACTGTGCATGCTCTTGACGTGCCAGACTCCAATTATGCAGTGGCCTACTTGACTGTGGTCCCCCCGGTGAGCATTAACTGAATAGAATATAATCCATTTGGTGTCTACTTTTATTGTCTTATAATTCAATTCAATTCAATTCAGTTTTATTTGTATAGCGCCAATTCATAACAGAAGTTATCTCAGGACACTTTTCAAATAGAGCAGGTCTAGACTGAACTCTTTATAACATTTACAGAGACCCAACAGTACCACCATGAGCAAGCACTTGGCGACAAGGGTAAGGAAAAACTGCCTGTTAAAAGGCAGAAACCTAGGACAGATCCTTCGGCTCTAGGTGGGTGGTCGTCTGTCTCGACCAGTTGGGGTGAGAGAGAGAGAGAGAGAGAGAGAGAGAGAGAGAGAGAGACAGACAGGTGCACAGCAACAACAGTATTGGCAATGGCAATCTAGCAGGACCATGGCAGGAGGCTCCACCAGGATCGATAAGAACCTGCGAGACGAGAAAGCACAAGAACTCCGGGGAAGAAGTGAAGTTAGTAACATGCATTAATGGAACATGAATGAGTGCAGAAAGAGAGAGGAAGAGAGGAGCTCAGTGCACCATGGGAAATCCCCCGATAGTCTAGGCCTATAGCAGCATAACTAAGGGATGGTTCAGGACTCACCTGATCCAGCCCTAACTATATATATATATATAAAAGTCTCCTGTGCTTTTATTTTCTATGAACAGATTGTTAATTCAAATTAACTCATCATTGAATTTTCTGTGTACGGCACTGACATCCCTTCTTCTTTCTCTTGTAGGATCCTGACACATTGCCACCAACCTGCTCTGCTGCTCAAGTACAGTCTACCTGTCTTTCCCTCTGCAATGAGTCTATCTGGAGTATATCTCTGGTCGTGTCAGACAGGGGGCGCTCTGGGCTCGCTGCCCTCCAGCTACAGAAGGGTGAAGGTGTTCTGACTTTATTCCACAGCCCCCCACTTACAGAGGAAAGCCTGGTAGACGCCCAGCCCGGCCACGACCAGCAACAGACACACCACAATGTCAGATTAGAGAAAGGAGACCCCCCTTTGAATGTATCTGAATGGGTACTCGGCTCATCTCAGCCACTGTGGGTGAGGTACACATCCAGCTGCTGCTCCGCTCAGGCAGAGCTGCTGGTGTGGGACACAGCTGGAAACATGAAGCGCTGCCATCTAACATCTGGCCAGCAGAGGCAGCCAAGCGACTGGATTACAGAAAGCAGTGGAGCTGGACAGATTACACTCACAGGTGTCCTTTTCTGGGCATTGGGTCTGCTGTGGTCTTTTCTGCTGTAGATCAATGTGACTACAACTGTTTTGCAGGTCAAACTAATCTACGTGTTGATCACTGGATTCCAGCAGCCGTCACAAGGAGCAACACAAAAAAGGACATGTAACTGAAAAACAAATGTAGTTTGAAGTCAGAACACTTAATGCAAATAATCATGTATATCTTAATTGGTGATTATGTGCTTGCTACTGTAATTTGTGCAAAGAGGGTGCATGGAATAAAGAATTAATCACTTTTTAATTATTTGCATTTGCAACTTCTGAACATCTGATATCATACAAAATACATTACTGCCATGGGGTGAATCATTTGGAATGACAACATTTCCAATAGGGGATTAATAAAGTATATATCTTCTTCTTCATTGTATAATGTATAAAGGTTGGAAATTGGGGAAAATAGAGATAAACAACCATCCATTCTGTCAAACACATCAACAGCATACTTTACTCACTTTTGTAACTTATTGCCTGAGTAACATTATTTAAGGCACCTGTCTTAGGAGTTATCAGTTGTCGCTGTGGCTCAGAGGCAGAGCGGGTTGTTCCTTACTCGGAAGATTGTGGGTTCGATACTCAGCTCCTGGTGCCACATGTCAAAGTATCCTTGAGCAAAATACTGAACCCCAACTGAGCATCGGTGTGTGAATGAGTTAGTTTTTGTTCGATGGACTTTACCATCACTGTGTGAATGTGTGTGAAAGGGTGAATGTGGCACGTAGCTGTAAAAGCGCTTTGCGTGGTCGGCAGACTAGAAAGGCGCTATACAAGTACAGGTCCATTTTACCAGGTCCATAGAGGAAGCCAAAAATATGAATAATTTAACTTGATATGTGCAAAAATAGTTTTAACATCACAGTGAGAATTACGTTTGAATGCCTACCCCTTGTAAATGAATGGGGAAGGCAAGAAAGCTAAAACATGGAGGAATGAGACATGTCTAGTAGGAGTTTAAAGTCACATACCACAAGAACATGTTGAGAAACCAACTGGCTGTGCTTACCTTCAGCTGGACATCATGGGTAATATACAGATGGAGCCTGTAGATAATTTCCACTGAGAACTGATTAACTGGTCATGCAGTTGTTCATTACATGATATAGAGGAAATGCATATAAAAACTGAGAAAACCTGGGCACACAATGTGTTGGTTAAGACGGAGACTGGGTTCAGACTGAGCTTTTGGGAATGTTGAATAAAAAATGCTCAACAATGACAAGCAAGCAAAGGTGGAGGAGAGAGGACACTGGGGCAGTAAGACAGAGTTTCTGCTGGCTGTGGCTGGAAATGTTGTCGGCCTGGGCAACGTGTGGAGGTTTCCTTACCTCTGTTACAAAAACGGAGGGGGTAAGCAAATATGACGTTCACTTGTTACCCAAAATCTGTGGTACAGGTATGCATTGTTGTATACTTTGTAAATTCAGGTGCATTCCTGGTGCCATATCTGGTATTTGTGGTGACCTGTGGCGTACCCCTGTTCCTGCTGGAGACGACCATAGGCCAGTACACCCAGGAGGGTGGCGTCACCTGCTGGAGGAAGCTATGCCCACTGGCAGAAGGTAGAACTTCAATTATAATGTTTTATTGTGGTAACACACTATCAAAACTGAATGGAGCAAAAACTAAAAAATATACATTTTCCCTCCTCTTCAGAGCCCTGACATGGAAGTCAGCACAAGGCAAACATTGACAAAAGAAACAGTATGGCCTCTGTGAACCTTATTCCAGGGTTGAAAAAAAATTAATATTTAAACAAGAACTGTGTGAAATATTTCATTTGTGTTACTGAACACTGGGATATTTATGGGAAGTACTATACTGAACTGCAAGTGGTGAAGTTGGATTGTTTTTTTTTGTTTCCTCCACATGTCAAATCCAGTGTAGTTTTACAACAGAAATGATTACTTTAGTATAAGTGTAAGTATAAGTAAAGGTTTATAAGTGGTTTATTCTTTTGCTTTGCTTTTTAATTATAAATTAATTATACAACAATTAAAACCTAACCTCTTAGAGTGAGGTTCTCATAATGTTTTTATATGAGAGAAAGTACCATATCTGGCCCTGCAGGTATCGGATATGGTGGGCAGCTGATCCTCCTCTACAGCTGTATGACCTACATCGTTATTCTGTCCTGGGCTCTGCTCTACCTGGTGTTCTCCTTCAGCTACCAGCTCCCCTGGGCCAGCTGCAACAACTACTGGAACACAGGTACACTGTCACATGCATTAAGGTTGACTTGTGTAACAGTGTACTAACATTTGCATTATGTACTGATGGTATGATAGCAGATATAAAACACTTCAGTGCATCTTATGTCAGTTAAAGCACAAGTGATTTAGTCTTACACTTACACATAGTTGAGAAATAATGTTATATAAAAGTTCAAGCAGGTAAAAGTCAGCGCAACAGAGGGTAAAACTTCCAGTGAAAAGGTGCATTTTTCTTTTTTTCTTATCCTTTCAGATGACTGTGTAGACTTTTCAAAACAAAATAACACCTTTAATGGGACCAACCAGACTGACTCAACCTCTGCTACCACAGAATTCTGGGAGTATGTTTATGTAGATTAACAAACTAAGCCAACAGGTTATTTTAAATGTGCTGAAGATAATCCTGATGAGCCTCAATAAGATACTTTTGATCTTTTTTCCTTCTAGACGACGAGTGCTGGCTCTCTCGGGGGGGATTGAGGAGCTAGGCAGCATCAGGTGGGAGGTGCTGTTGTGCCTAGTTGTTATGTGGATCACCTGCTACTTTTGTATCTGGAAAGGGGTCAAGTCTACAGGAAAGGTATTTATATAAGCTCTAAAACTGTTGTAAATGTGCATACAATTCATTTTAAAATGCCTGAATAGTCGTCTTTCCTCCCCCAGGTGGTGTATTTCACTGCTACCTTCCCCTATGCAATGTTGGTCATTCTTTTGATCCGTGGACTCTCTCTTCCTGGGGCTCTACAAGGGGTGCTGTATTATCTTCTGCCTGAACCCTCCCGACTTACAGACCCTCAGGTAGGAGCACTGTACTGATACACTGTAACGAAGTTTAGGTGTTCTCACTGTTGCTTTTTTGGACAGGTTTGGATGGAGGCCGGGGCTCAGATCTTCTTCTCATATAGTGTGGGCGTGGGCTCCTTAACTGTGCTAGGCAGCTACAACACCTACAACAACAACTGCTATAAGTAAGTATGTGTCAGTGTGTGACTAACATCATTAAAGTTACATTAAACTTTTCTGTCAGATGCACCAGAGGACACGTAATCATACATATTTTAATGTAATGTTTTAATGTGTTAATAAAAAATGGTGAATTAATAGTGTACAGTATGCATATGTCTTTATGTTTTGTAGAGACTGTCTGTGGCTGTGTTTGCTGAACAGTGGCACCAGTGTGGTAGCTGGGTTCGCAGTCTTCTCTGTGCTGGGATTCATGGCTCATGAGCAGGGTATTCCCATTGCGGAAGTGGCTGAGTCAGGTAGGTTGTGTAGTTAGAGCTATTAGTTTTGGGGGTGTGGTATTATTGAGAGAATTGTTGATGGAGTAACATTGTGAATTTGAGAAACAAATTCTCAGTATAAGGTCACTAAACATTTTTTAGAGCAAGCTACAGAAAATATTCAGTAAGTAGACCTTGTGCTGAGAATTGTCTTTTCAAGAGTAAATCATTAAGCTCGAATGAAGATATTTGACATATCATTTAACTTTTTGTAACCACTTTGTTATACAGGAGTAGTATGGGATGTACTAACACCTCCTACACTCACAAGCAAGTCGGGCAAAGTCCATGACTGTACTTGAACTTTACTACTTTATCTACTTTATTACATCCATTTTTTATTTCCTAGGCACTTTTTGCTCCACTACATATATTTGAAGGGTATAGTTAGTTTGTTTACAGATAAAAATGAACATAATACATAATAAACATATGATAAGCTCATATAACACATTGTTAAGATTAAACCGCTACTTTTACTTACACCTAAGAGTTTATGACCGGTCATTTTAATACTGATGCCTCCACATGACCTAAACAAACAAGACCATCAGTGAGATGATTGGCTGTTTCTATAAAGTTATTCTTAATGACTGCGACTGATTCAGATTCAACTTGAAATCAATGAAACGAGGCGGTGGTCCACAGGGCCTGCCAGAATAAAAAAAAAACTAAAGTTCCCTGCTGCTGCTTTAAGTTGGAATTTAATTGCAGCACTTTTAATTGGAATGGTGTGCTCTTGCATTATTGTATTGGTACTCTTATTTAAATAAAGGAGTACTTCTTCCACCACTGGTTCACAGTATGTAAAACCTTTGCTGCCATCTTGAGGACAACCATAGACATGACAAGTAGTAACAGTTTCTGTGTCCAAAGCCAGTGTGAGCAGGCACAGTTGGTTGTTGCAGCAGTTGCATTGCATTCATTTCTGCGCTGGTATGCAGCAGGACACTTGTTTCACGTCGTACCCTGCAGCACACCCAGACACTGCTGCTGACTGGCTGCCGTGTTTTGGGTGTGATCCGGGCTATATGTTAGGAGACGAGTGTGTTGTGTCATCTGATGTGATGTGAGGCCACTGAGAGGGCTTGCTCTGTAGCTTTGACCCTTGCATGTTGTCTGGGGCCAAGTGTGCGCATGGACTCATACAGTAGATACACTTATGCACACACATTCATTTTCACTGATTGGGCCTAACTGTGCTCATGTGGCTTCACTCTCATCTCTCTTCTCCTCCCTGCCCAAATATTTATAACACAGACCACATACCAGTACAAGCTGTTGTACATTCCCTCAATCAGCAGACGACTACTCCCATTCAGTCATCTCATATAAGTGTATGATTTATTTACACATGTTTATGCTCTAACAATATAATAAACATTATTATTAGCAGCGATTCCTAGATATTGAATATTATATTCATGTGTGTGATTTTGTTGTTTGACTTTAGTTAAAATTGTATTGTCTGTTTTTTATGTCTTTTATTTCACATATTTTCCTCACAAAAAAACATGAATATAAACTGTAAGTGACCTCGAAAGCTGTCACTTAAACCTTTCTGTTTTCAGCGACAAAGGTTTTTTCCAATATAATCTGCAGTTTCCTGCAAACAGCAACAACAACTTAATCCCCTTTGTGAGTGTCAGTAACTTCCCTCCATCTCATCAGACAGAGTATGTTATTGTTTGTGTTACTCAGTTGATGAGACTTCCACTGCATCACCACCATCTGCATGCATACTTACCTTTACTTTATGTTATTGATGCTAAATTGGCCCAACAATAAAGGCAGGTGGTAGAAAGTGATGGGTCTCGCATCACTCTGATGTTGCTTCTCAGGTCCAGGCTTGGCGTTCATTGCATACCCACAGGCTGTAGCCATGATGCCTCTGCCCCAGCTGTGGTCCATCTGTTTCTTTGTCATGCTCATTCTCTTGGGTCTGGACACACAAGTAAGATGCACATAAAATCTTTATGGAGTAAAATATTTACATTTAGAAATGAACTTATTCTGTCTGGTCCTTTCTCTGTACAGTTTGTTGCCATGGAGGTGGTGATGACATCCATCATAGATATGTTTCCCACAGAAATGCGCAGGCCAGGCCGACGGGAACGTTTCCTCCTCCTGTTCTGCCTCATATGCTTCCTCTGTCAGATTGTCATGATCACTGAGGTCAGTATTAAGTGTTATATGTGCATTTATCATTTATTATGGCAGTGTATTCTTGCTAATGCATAATTTTCACAACTTTGTTTTATCATTCTAACAATATCAGTGTATGTGTTGTAATGTGAAAACAGGTGACAAGAAAAGGCTTCCAAACAACTGAGGTTAACATATTAAGTAAAATAAACAACGCCCATGTCCAATAAATGTCTCTGCTGTTGTCTCCAGGGAGGGATGTATGTGTTTCAGATGTTTGACTACTACGCTTGCAACGGAGCCTGCATCCTCTTTCTCTGTGTGTCTGAAACACTGGCCTTGGGTTGGCTGTTTGGTAGGTACGCTGTTTTTAAAGGGATACTCCAATACCATACTTAATACTGGACCTCCAAAAAATAGGAAGAGTCACAAAGGACAGACTTAAAAAGAAAGATCAGAATAAAAACAGTAGAGGCTGAGATGTCTTGACTTTTAGGTCTGACTTTTATGTTTAAAAATGAGTTAAATCCCCATTATAATACACTAAATCATCCACAAACATCTGGTCTGATCTGGTTATTATCCAACCTCATCTCCTATAAAGGGGCAGAGCGAATATATGGCATCATAAAGGACATGACCGGTGCACACACCAACCCGTTCTTTAAAATCTGCTGGCTTTTCCTCACACCGCTGGTCTCACTGGTGAGTCAGGCTTTACTGTTGCATATATGAATATATAATATACGCCTGAATATGTCTTAGCACTTCTAACCTTTAATGCCAAAATGTTGGGACAAATACTGATTTTCTCCTCTTATTGTTTTCTCAGAGCACCTTTATATGTTCTTTAGTTTGGTATCAGCCTCTGACCTTTAATCGCTGGTATGTGTACCCCTCCTGGGCATACGTGCTGGGCTGGGTACTGGCCCTCTCCTCCATCCTGCTTGTGCCGGGATGGGCGCTGTATAAGCTGGGAACTGGGACTGGGAATCTCAGTCAGGTGTGTAATTTTCTAATTAAAATACAATTTTACAGTGTCCATATAATCAAGGTATTATGCAATAATCTATCTGACTGCAGACAGAATCCTTAAACCAGCAAAATAAAAAGACAAAGTGCAATAATGTGCTTAATGACACATTTTTTCTTAAAATCTATGCGCAAAACATAGCTAATACATGGGATTTGAGTGTCAATAAATAGCAAAAGGGCAGGGTCTGTCTGTGGTCAAACAAGATTTGTCTTGTTTGGCAAAATCAAACATCTCACATACTATCTACATGATGTAGTTTTTACAGTTATTACTATTATGATGGTAGTGCAGTGTGGAGTCTGTTTAGGAGTCAAATTTTGCATCAGTTTTAATGTTGAGTACAAACTACGTTCTCCTCAGTTTTTGCCAGTTTGAACTTCCAACAGCCATATTACTCATCCTGATTGTCTTAATGCTGCAACAATGCAACAAACACATATTATGCAACCACTTCAACACAGTGTGATGTCCTGGTTCATTAATGTTTCAATTATTTCTTAGTTCTGTCTATTTCTATTTCTTAGCGTTTCCATCATCTGTGCCAACCTCACCCTGACTGCTCCCTCACCCAAAAGGGTGAAACCGAGCTGCAGCACCTCAGGGAGGAAGATCGGCAACAGTATCAAAAGTAATATCACTATCTATGTAACATTACTTTATCTGCTTTTCTTAAGTCTACAATCCAAAGGTCAAAGTCAACAGAACACGGTGGTATTTTAGCCAAGAAAAATGTCATAATCTTTTTAGTCATATCATAATCACCATCAGATCCCTATTTTGAGCCAAAATTACTAAACAGTAAAAACATGCAATGTAAAAGTACACAATAAATGACCTGTGCAAAATGCTGTTGAAATTTAGAGATCCTATAAATATATATTGAAAATACATTAGAGGAGATAGCTCTAATGACAGGCACTCATTATAATTTTACTGTCACAACATTATCACACATTTAAATCACACATTTATTTCAAAAGAATAAAAGACTCAAAGTGCGGAGTTTCCAATGTCACCATGGAGCTCAGTGGATAAGAAACTAACTAGCTTCCAGGAATAGGAGACACACGCATGTGTTTCTCACATGTGCATCTCAACCTTAGTGACTCTTTCCAGTTTCCATGGAAGCAACTGGATTGTTTCAAGGTGATGTAAACTCATCGTAGAAAAATGTTACCAACATGAGACTCAATTTCAAAAGATTCATATGATACACTGAAAAAGTCTTAATGTATCGCTTTATTTAAATACCTTAAAATTATGCAAAATACACTGTATAAAGCACTTTCAATTTCAGAAATGTGTGCACTGCTGCCAGTGCAGTCTGTCATATGCACAAGCACAGAGAAATGGAAGAAAGATCATACACATAGCACATGCATATAACCAGTTAGTCAACATACTTGTGTACTTAAACACTGTCCAACTCTCTCAAACTCAATGCCAACTGTTCTCCATCTCTGACTAAAACAGGGGACCACATAACACCAGCAAGTAGAGGCTTGGTGCAAAAAAAAGAATATCAAAGTGTAAAGCTGTTGCATGAAAGGAAATGGGATAAGTGATTATCTTGGAGCTGTGTTGAACTGCTGTATCTGTAAAATGTACAAAGATTTCAATAAACTAAATAAGTATGATAATGTGTGATGATGAAGATGTGCCTGGTAATGCAAAAAAATAAAAAAAATCAAGTGAAAAACTTATTAAGGCGTTGTGAAAAGCATTTGGATAGATCCTTGCAGCAGTCCAGTGTAGTGCACTTTGTGATGTTAGACACATTTTCTCTGCAACATTGAGAGCCCACTTGTGTCTCCAGCGCAACCCGTTTCCTTAAAGTGCCATTTTTCTGGGAGCCTACAGCTGTGTTTTGAAAGCAATCTTCGCTGTGTTTGGACTGCTGGCTCTCTCGGGTAAAGAAGGCTGAAAGAAACCATTTTCTCCACATTTATCTACCAGGAGAGGGATTTATAATCTTTTCCCTGAATTAAGTTGGTCTGACGTGACAGCAAAATGTCCAACTGAACTGATAATATACAGTAAACTGATCATTCCTCCCGGGGAAACAGTTTATTTTCACATAACCCTTTACGTGGCTCACGAGCAGAGACCCTCGACTCATCTGTGTGGTTCTATACTGTCTGCGGTGGAGATGGTGCCTCTGGATTTAATTGCACTCAAGTGCATTAAATAGGAATTATTCAGATGTCAACCACTTAATTCTGGTGTAGTATGTTAGGCAACTGTACTGTAACATGTACAGTCATTGTTAAATTTTCATTGACCTGCAGAGATATTTTGCACAATCCCAATAAAACTAGGTATAAATAACCAGGGATAAACTATTACAACCACACATAATATCCAAAAATGACTGGTTCTCCACTGACTAGCCCTGAGTACCTGCTCTCCCTTTAAAGGCAATGCAGATCGTGCTAACCGGTAGAACTGTCAGGAGGCATAAAGGTGACTTTCTCTGAGGATTTACAACCAGCCTCAAGTTCTCTGCCTTGTCCTGAGTGAGACTGCTGTGACCCAGGTAAGTTCTGGTTTGGGTTCAGGATAGCTCTGAGAAAGCGAGACGGCTCTGAGTTCTCAGCAGCCAGTGGGCCATTTTCATCACCTGTGGAAATACTCTGTGGTTGACTGGCAGAATCTGGATGACACAGGATTTGTAGGTCAGGGTAGCTGCCGGACTTGGCCATGGCTCGGTGTAGATGTTCCCAGGCTGTGATACCATTCAGGCTGCAGCTGGGGTTGCTTGCCGCCTGGCACAGTAGCTCGGTGTGCTGGCGGAGCTGGGCAATGTCCCGCTCGGTGGCAATGCTCTGGCGCAGCAGCTCCTTTGTGCGCAGGGTAATGTTCAACAGGCCTGACTGTCTGAGGATTTCTACTGTGTTGAGGAAACGGCGGTGGCGAGTACTGGTGGTGCCGTTTCTGTGGAGTCTTCTGGAGGCCAGGAAGGAGGAGGGGGTGGACAGACTGGACCCAGATGGGGAGCCCTGGCTTGAGGAGACAGTAGTGGGACTGGAGGAGGATAAACTATCTCTGCTTGAAGAGGTACATGGCAGCCTAGAGGCTAATTTGGGTTGCTTATAAAGGTGCTGCTCAGGTAGATTCCCTGTCACAGATGTGTCATCACTCTGGTTTTCTGTGAAAACCCTCTTGCTCAGATTCTGGGGTTCATCATTTGAAGATTTATTAGGTGGCTTCTTGCTGGGGTGTGGCGCAATGCGCGGGTAGGAGTTGAGAATTGGTAGGTATGTGGCATTTATTTTCTTTCCTGTGGCGTTGGACTTCCGGGACGAGGGGTTGTGGAGCTGGAGGGTGGCCGGCAACAAGCTGGGTTGCTGTAAAAGGATCATGTGGGCAGCACCAGGACTGCCGGTCTCCCTGCTTCCATTTCTCCGGGGCAGCTGACCTCTTTTCTGGATCATGTCCGGCTGGTGGCACAGGGAGGAAGGAGGAGGAGGAGAATAGGATGAAACAAGGACACAAAGTGCAGTATTAGAAGCAGCCTGAGTAAATTTAGTACATTATAAAGAAATATAATTGTAAGAGAGCAAGATATTATATATTCATACTCTTGTTCCTCCCTGTTTTTGACAGATACATGATGAAAACGAGTGTCCCTTTTTAGTAAAATAATACATTTCTGCAAAAACATGCAAGTCAAAAGCATGCCACTCCTTCTGTAACAGTAAGTCACCCTGACCTATCTTTGACATTATGCTTCACTTTGCAACTTCATTTCTAACATTGCCTGTTTATAAATCACTCATGCCATCCTTCAACTCCCTACTTGCCTCACTCCCAGCTCTTGTTGTTTCAAGATCTTGGTGTCCACTGCCGTGGGAACACCTCATTTCTTACCTTTCACAGTTTAAGAGAATCATTATCAGAAGAGGAACAGTGTGTATTCCATACTGTCTGCAACTAGGCCTATCTCACCTGCTTAAGCACTGTGTTCTTGATTACGTAAATGGGTGAGAGCTCATGGCCTGCAGGCATCCGGGAAGGATTCCCACGGCCAGGTTCTTGGTTTTGACCTGGCTGTAAAGTGTCTGCAGGCTTGCTGCCTATGCACTGGCTGTCGTTTCTCTGCTGGTCGTCTGCATCTGTCTGCTGCCAGTCTGAGCCGTCTGCAGGGAAGTTGGAACAGAAAGAACTGAGCCGGGACGACATGCTTTCATACATACTTGAAAACTGTTTTTGCACACACGTACTGATTAGATTTGTGTGGCCTATAAGATATGTTGCCAAGACAACTACATGAAAACATGTATTGGTTTTGCCTCTGCTGTCACTGAGAGATTGACCGAGTGGTCGCTGTCTGTATGAAGCCTGCATGTGAGCGTGTGTGTGTTCTTCACTCTTCTCGACAACTGTTCATCTGACCCACTTCACATTTGGTGGGTGTATTCTTGGAGACCCAGTGAATTATAGTGTTGAATTTGGTGCAATTTGGACACGTTTGAATAGACAAGCGAACGGCACTGTGCAGCCTCAGAACGGGATTTTGCTGCAGTTCTCTCTCGCCGGCTGCTGACAGCGCCTTCAGCTGAGGAGTCGATCACACAGCACGGTAGACAAGCAGACATAGAGACGCTGTTACACGTCTCTCTAAAAAGGAGTTTAGTCGACTTTGTTGCACGTACCGTAACACTGGAGATAAGAGCGAGAGTCGTTCTGTCCTCTATATCTACCATTCCTCTGTGTTTCACACAGTTATGTGTTTAGGTTGTCATCACAGGTATGTATTTAGATCATAGCGTTTGTGTTTTATTGCTGTAGGATATGTATGTAGGAACATTTAAAACATATGTAATTGGTCTTTACAAAGAAATCGAGTGTAAACTCTGGTGCTGACTCTCAGCTTTAAATTGAGATTGTTTGAGGGTGTTCACAACAAAGTACATTTTATGATCAAGTATTGAGATATTCTTCACTGGTCCCCTGAACTCAGTCTAGCTGGGCAGGTACAGTATTTTGATTGCTGCATCATCAGTCTGTTGGTCATAGACTACAGTCATTGGCAGCAAGGGATTTGACACCAAATTTGAAATAAATAGATTCATTTCAGTGTATGTTTACTTTCTTCAATTGATTTAGATTATTATTTAGATAAAAGTTAACAGTTCCTACACTCCTTATGTGGATGTAAACGTAATCAAGTTAAACCTGAAAGTCAGCAAAACAACTTCTTTGTCATTGTTTCATTTAAAGAAAATATCCTACCCATTATTTATTGCAATGTTTGTCCCATTCAGCTTTCATAATTAGCACTGCCTGAGCTGACTTGCAAATGGGAGTGTATGGGAAACAGCTGTCAAGAATAAAACTTGGCAAACTGTCATTCTTACTCATTTACTCACCAGAGTAGCCAGAGTCTTTTTCTGAACTGCAGCGGGAGCCCCGTCCACTGGAGTCTGAGTCTTTGGTATTACGCATTGCCAGCAGAGTCGTACTGTTGCTCTTATCTTTAGCATTCTTGCTGGATGTAGCACGAGGACTGTGCTCGCTCAAGCAGGGCTGTTCCTTTGGCATACTGCACCCTAATATATAAAAATAAGGAATACATATTCAGACTGCCTCTGAATACCAAAAATGTTTTGCTCTCATAAGGCTGTGGTAGTTGCTCTCTGTGGTTGTACCCTACATATCACCCATTGCATGCTAGGATAGGACCAGCCTCTTATGGCCGTCAGTATAGACTTTTTTTTTGTAACTTATTGCAAAACATAACAACATAATGCAAAACAATGAAAAATATGCATATTCATAATTATTTAGATTAGATTTTTTAATTTCATATTGGACTCATTCGAATGTACGAATGCACGTTTTGAGTGCACTATCATTGAAATGCCTCAGATGACAATGATAACCACAGAATGAATACATGGTATGCAGTCACATAACTCTTTTTATCAGCAGCACACATAACACACGACTGTGTACTGCTAATGTTACACAGCTCCTTAAATGCCGCCCGTCTTCTCTTTAATACTGTGCTGTCTGTCAAAACATTTGCCTGAATTCTTTATTAATCTGTTTGTGCAGTCGATTGCACAACAGCTTATACCATTTTAGTAGCGTTTCCAATGTTTTTTTCCCACATGAATCCACATGCTGATGCTAGTGTTTGTCTTGGGGGGGAAGGGGGGGTGTAACCGAGGCAACTTACGCAAAGTGACGACAGGTGGATTGCCTCTATTAATACCACACAGGATATCAGCAAAAATATTGTGTTTCATATTAGTATTAAAGTCTTAATTTGTGCTGCATGTGGTGGTAGTTTAACAGCCCGTCCTTAATGCTCTTGCAGAAACAGTATAGGTTCAGTATACAGCACTCAAATGAGAACTCATAGGGATTGACTATATTTAACAAGGGACAAGTAACTGGATCCAGCGCCAAAACTCTACATTTATACATTTAGTTTGCTCATCTGAAATTGTAAGGATAAAAACAACAACCCACAAATAAGCCATGTGTATTAACATCTTGACCACTGTTTTTGTGCATGTGTGTACGTGAGTGCCCAACATTACAGGGAGCCAACGCAATGCAAGGGTCATGTGTTGTTTTGAGTCAACAGAGATATCAAGCCTATTACACGGTTTACCCAAATAAAAGGCTGTGATTTGAGCTTACAGGCAGAGCCATGGAACACTGAGTCAATACGTGTTGTTACAAGAACGCTACAGCTTGTCCAAGAAACGCTCGGGTTGAACATTCATTTATTCCTATTTTTCTCTCACATGCACACAACTGTATAACAACTATAAATCTTGAAGGCACGCCACATGTCCTTACACCCTACACTCTACTACAAGTTATCTGGTATTCAACTTTACAACAACTCCTGTGTGGATCAAGTTATATAACGTGAATAAGGAAATGACAGGCAGTTACCCTACAATGTACATGGATACAACACTCCTTAGCTTCCAGTTACATGAACATTCATTACAATTTGGCAAGCACTCAGTGGATTTAACTGTATCTTTTTGTATTCCTGTGGCATCCATAAGGAGTCTGTTGCCTTCACTGTGTCTGATGGTCAAAGTACAAACACAAAAACAGAAGAACATGTCATAGCATATGGGTGGCTGATTCAGCTGGGGAAATTATAAGCTATGGCCTTTTTCCATACACATGTTCTGGCTTGGCTCACCTCGGTTTGACTCCGTGCACGGGCCCAGCACTCGACCAACTCTATTAGTTGATCCTGAATGACATTTGATACTCCTCTGTCCTCTCTTATTATTGGTTCTTTGTCTCCAAGAGGTGCAGGGAATATCTACAGGACACAAGAATAAACAGTGCAGTCATTCACTTGATATTCACATTTCAGGTCTGCTACAAAATCTACACTGCAACCACATTTAAAGCCCTGCAGTGGTAGAATTTTAACTTTTATGACCGGCTGTACAACTTTATGCTCTCCCACTTTAATAAACACTGCCATCTTTTTTCACAGAAACTTTAATCGAATTTGATGTATGTAACACTATTTTTCTACTTTGGTTATTTGGATATTTTCGGTGGCAGTGGTTCCGAGAAAGCAGCACATCTCACTCTCAGCTGAAAAAGCAGCAGCACCCCTCCTCCTCCTCCTCCTTCCCTCCTTCCTCCCCCCTATTATGTAACACTCAACTTTGAGTCCAGCCCTCCCTAACACACACTTCCTCTCACACTAGCCAAAAAACACACAGGGTTAGCTAATCAAAGTGGTCGAAATACAAACGACATAACGCGTAGTCAGCCATGTGAAAGACGAAAAAGTTATGAGTGAGAGCTTGAATAGGAAGCATAGAGATGTAACGTAGCAATATCACGTCTTTACCAAGCAAATACATTTATTAGCTCCATCTACAGTGGAAAACTTACCTCCAAAAGCCAATTATTTCCAATAATGGTCGTTTCCCCCCTTATGCTCAGTTTCAGGGCGCCGATAAACGCTAACCCTAACCAGCAGTCCCATTTATAATTGTTATCCGTTTAAGTTACAGTACAAAATGATTATTTTTCTCCTGTCAAACATGCCGTGTGATAGGACTACAGAGAAAATGGGTTGAGAGATTCTGTCGAGTCAGTCACAATAAGCAACATCATATCCGGTTGGTTCCAAAATAAAACGCAGTTAAAAGACAAAACGGAGGTTTTATAAATAACACTAACTGGTCCGATAACGTTCAGTGCGATTCCGAGTCAACACTGTTATTTTACATCCCCAAGCAGCATTTACCCGAGTGTTAATCCAACAGCAGTAACATCCAGGCTTTTGTTTTGAAATTCCGGTGGCTAATTCTAGCTAGCTTGATGCCGCAGTTCGAGGTGGCGACAAAATGTTTCAATAAAGTAAAACAAATCCAAAACAATTAATATTGAAACTTTGTCATTCGAACCTGCATCCAAAAACTTTACAGACAAATAGTAGTCCACCGATGGCACAATTCAACAAGGGAGTAATAATTAGTTTTGTGCGTTACCTTAATTGAACCCACCGTGGGCTGTTACCAACGACCAGACACAATGCAACGAGCTCTCTACGCGAGCTAAAAGCGCATTGGCCCGGGAGACAACTACGACAGCCAATCAGAAAGTAGTGCAAGTGCATCAGCGGGACAGTGATAGTAGAGGAAGACCCAAGCGTGCAAAAAACAGTGTGTGTCACTGGCGGACTTAATATAAAATAAAAGTCTCGTTTAGGGTTAACAAATGTTCACGGGCCGAGAAAGATTGGTTCGGCAGAAATTACAGCCGGTTAAGATACGCACAAGAACTTGAATTGCAGTCGCCAGTCATGAGTTTGATTTCCACCAGTAGCTGATTTGCATGTAGTTGTAACAAACCTACTGCTGCTGCTTGCAAACAGATACTGCAATATGCCCGGTGTGCAAAATGTCCATTGTTTCCTTACATTCACTGAAGAGAAATACCCTTGATATAAAGTTATGCTGTGCAACATTATCAAAAGGGACTCCTGTGAGCTAGTAAGCTTTGTCAGTATTATACTGTCAATGGTCAGCATGCCTGCACATGTGAGAAGGAGTGGCCAACAAGGCAACCTTGCAGTCACAAGGTGGCTCTGCTGCTGGACTTGAAGAAAATTACATAATTTTGTGCAAAATAAAAACAGCTGAAACTTTAATTATTGCAGCAAATACTTTATTTTTACATTAAAACTTTAGAAATAACTTGACACCCTCTTCACAAATGACAAGACAAGGCCACATCAATACAATTCAAATATTTTCTAAATTGGCTGCAAGATAAGATCATAAAACAGGTATGCCACTGAGTTGGCTAATTCACATACATGCAAAATGCATGCAATTCTTTAACAGTGTTCAGCATCAAATCTTTCACACTTCTTCCTCACCATTTCCGTGGCAACTCCTCAGGATCCACAGCAAGGAATGTACAGCCTTACAGGAGTACAGCCCTCAAGCGATGATGTTCTAGTATCTCTACCTTGAAGCTTCGGGATATAATTGAGTTCCTAGGAGTTGGGAATGTCATGTGCATATGCCCAGCAGACCAGAGGCGTTCTTTAGACCTGGGTGTCTGCTGACATGCATGGTCTCTGGGGAGGAGAATTTAATAAAACTGGCACAGGTGTCTTGGGTGTGGGCCTTGGCTGCCGCAGTGGCCACAATGTGCATGATCCTCAGCAAGTCGGTCTCACTGAAAAACACACAAAGCATGCAAATGTAAACCGTACAGGTAGGACACACACACTCTTTTGGAGAACTCTGCTTTCTGTAAACACACACACACACACACACACACACACACACACACACACACACACACACACACACACACACACACACACACACACACACACACACACACACACACACACACACACACACACACACACACACACACACACACACACACACACACACACACACACACACACACACACTTTTCAAAAAGGGAACTGGGGATATCTTATAAGTGAAGATACACACCTGCCCACATGAATGCTGGAGGCCAGACACCAGGCAGCCTCCCCTTCTGGTGTCAGGGGCTCCTGCAGAACTTGGCGGGACAAACAGAGGGCTGCTCCTGCCAGCTGCACGGGCAGAAACACCACACACTGGCCCTCCAGGAGAGACAGCTCCAGAAGATAACGTGCCATCCACACCACCTGAAAGGCACAGATGATACTTCAGATCTCTACACACTGCGCATCCTCAGATCATCACTGAGATTATCGGTCAAACACACAATCCAGATCTACCTTAGTGCTGCAGCGAGCAACAGAGGCAAGAAGTACGAGGAAATGCAGAGGGGGACAGTAGGACAAGTCAAACTTGAGTGTACAGAGGAGTTTACGCTCCATTCGCAGCAGCTGATGTTTAGTGTAAGTGTGGTCCATCAAGTAGCAGAGTCCAGACACCTGGAAGAGGCAAATATCAATTAATCAATTGACATTACTCTACTTAGTCAGCAATTAAACTTTAACATATTGTAGCTTTATAGTTTGGGAGGGATGAGCCTGCGTACCTCAGGGAGAAGACATTCTTCCTTCTTTGCAGCGAGGAAGAGGCAGACCATGCCTAGGAGCTGCAGGTTGGCGGTGGCTACCTTGATCTGACGCAGGGAGCGGTTGAGGAGGTGTACGGCCAGGTAGAGGGTCTCTGCCTGAAAATGCATGATCTCCTGGAAGGAAATAAACAGGGCATACAAGATTGAATTTTATTCACAAAAGAAAAAAAAAAGTTTAAAGCATTCGTTTGAGATTTTGGGAAATGAGGTCATTTGCTTTCTTGCAGGGAGTTCAATAAGCTTGATACAGTACAAAAAGGAGCTACAGAGTGTTATCTTAGTTAATCTTATTTGGTTGGGTTAGGAAGGTACTGCACCTAACCAAGAAACAGTATAGTAGATGAAGCAAAACGTTCATTATTGAGCTTTGGAAGAGCCATTTCCCCTTGTTTCCAGTCTTTATGCTAAGCTACACTAAAGCAGCTGCAGGTTGTTGCTACAGTTTGTCAGCATTTGACAGGTTCTTCTCAACAAGCATGACCTTAAAATAATCTGAATAAAATGTTGTAGTTTGACAAGCTCTGTTTTGAGGGAGAAGAAACCCTCCACCTAGAGAAAGACTTACATGAACTTGAATGAGCCAGTCTATCAGGACAGCACGAGTGGCATCAGTGAAATGTCGGGGCAGGTCAGCGTTGGGAAAAGAGTTTTGTGTTTGAGTCCTCTGCAGGGTGAAACCAGAAAAGATCAGACACACAGAAAATACTAAAACACATGGTGCGCTGTGTGCCAATCCTCTAGGTTACCCCTCTTGCATACAATTAGTGATTAGGTCTGCATACAGCACATTTTAGTGATTATGTTCCTTCCTTTAGAAACATTAGATAACCCATGAAGCCGTTTTGCAACCCCCCGTTTTTTTTATGTCTCACCATCATATCCAAGAACATGTCCCAGGCATATGTCCGGTCCCATATGAGGTCCAGCTTCTCCAGGGCCATCTCCACTTCATGGCGCAGCAAGCTGGGCACCAGTGCCTGTAGGCTGTGAAGACCCTGCAGCCCGAGAGGGTGAAGCAGCACAGGGTCCTCTATATGCCCATCTGCTACACAGGATAGAAGGTGGATTGTTCGTGCTGCACTGTGTGTCAGTGGCAGTGTATTGGTCTGTAAAGAAGACTGAAAACTACCAGCTGAGCATGTTCGACTGTCTTCATGGAACCCCATGATAATGTCTTCACTCGTTTGCGTCGATAACCTCCTTTCCTGAAAACACAATGTCATGCACATCAGTGGGAAATGCACATGCAAGTGGGGTTGTTATGATCATATACAGAAAACAGCTGGGAAAAGAAGTCCCAACATGAGCCAAGATGAGACACTACAACATATTGCTGGGTGAAGATGACAAGGAGGAAAGAGACGGCATACCCATCTGCATTCGGTCTCCATTTTGACAGGGGCCATCCTGGACTCCTCTACTTCTACAGGCTGCCAGCGATCTATAGGCCCACAGGCATTAGCCCAAGTTCTTAATGGGGCTCGCCTCTCATCCGCCTGGAGGGGCAACAAAAAAAGTCTTTGCACAGATACCGCTGTGATACTGGTGTACACTTAAAAATGCATTCCTATCCATTTTTTTTTTATCAATACAACTGAGCTTAATGTGTTTGATAGTGACTGTAGGTGGCTGCAGTTAATTTCCTGCCATGAAACAAATGTTAAGAAGGGTGATTCAGTTCTGGTCTCAAGGTCCTACTCCAGCAGTCTAATCAGGGACTCCTCCACACCTGGGGCCATGGCAGGTGAATGCAATAAGTTGAGATCAAGGTTTAATCAGTGAGTTTTCTTTTGTTCATTTCCCTCAACAGATTCAACAATAAATACCATCTACTATAGCTGCCATCAGTTGTTTAGAAAGGAAGTGAACGGGGAAAAGTTTAAAAATAACATGTTGCACAGGTAAATTTAAACAGCTGGAAACTGGAAGAGAAGCAGATGCTCACCTTCTTGTGTAAGTCCAGCAGGGGCTTGGAGTCGCAGAAACCAGTCCTGGCCATTATCACAGCCGGAGACAGAGTTCCCGTTTCGGCCGCTGCAGCTACTTATCCACGGGTATCGGCGGAGGCCTGGGTCAGAGAGAGCAGCCATACTGCCCGGACAGCGGCTGATAAAGCCCGGTGGGCCCCGCTGATTGGGGTGGGGACACCGGTGCCACGGTAGACAGGATAGGGTTTGGACTTCCGGTCGATGTTTGAAAAAAATGAACCGCGTTTTGTTTTTCTTCCCAGCGGTGAGATGTTGTTTTAAATAATATATGTATATTAAAACGTATAAAGGATTTTATGGGTCCAAAACAGCGCTTTTGTTCATGTCCCTCAACTGCAGTCTGAGATATTGATGTTAAATGATAACATTATGACAGTATTTCAAATGAAATTGTTTCATATCAATATTACATCACATCATATAATTATAATTTTTTTTTTTTACTCATCATTTATATGATTTCCCTCCTCACTTCTGTCCTTACCGTGAAACTGAACCATGCTGCCAAAGTTTTTTTTTTTTTTTCCACATCCAAACAAATGTAGTTCTTTGGAAACATAAGTTAGCAAGTGAGACCTCCTTATTAACTCATCAGCTCCCTCATTATGTGTCATAATATGAGAGCTGTACAGAGGGTTTTAAAAATAGAGGTCAAGAGAGCTCCCCCACCCACCCTAGCAGCTTCCACTAAAAAAGGTTTCTGGCTTAATACTGTCCAATCTATTTTCACTCTATAATAATATTATAATTTGGCTTTGATAAGCTCATGTGAAATGTATATGATATTTTGGGATCAAAATTCCTTGTCACAACATAAAGCTCTCTTAATTTCCTGAAACAATATTGGGCACAACTTCAATAGCAGCTATGGCCCAGGTCATAATACATCCAACCCTTCTTTACTTTAAGCTTTAAAAGATTGCAGAGCTATTGCTATGGGTTGCACCAGACTTTACATGTGTACAGTGTAAAAAAAAAAAAAAAAAAACACACAGACAGCTTTATTCAGTAAAAACGTTTACTGGCACATTATAGTTGCAAATGTTATAAGCTACCATATTGTATCAGGTATCACCCGTTACATTGTAAAGTCTTGCAAGGGGGGGCTGAAACTGTCTACCAGGACAAAGTCCTCCCCTTAAAGATTGCTTTTTTCATTGCCCTCTGAGCCTCAACTAACAGCAACAAGCAAAAAAAAAATCTTGTTACACCAGCATCAGGTGTGACATTCGTGACTGTTGATCACATTCAAATATACAGAGAAGCAAGGTAACCATAGTAAAGCTGCAAATCAAATACTACAAAGCTGCAGGCCTCCCCTTCTACTAATGCTGCATTCACCATCAAGCTTTTTTTTTTTTTTTTTTTTGGTATTTACACAATAGTGAAGAGGCACTTGTTGTGCCTGTGTAAGCCTACAGGAGAGGTCAGGGGTCTTAACTTGCATGTTTAGCCGTGAAGCATTGCTTAAAGCGTGGCCAGCAGCGAGGTTCAGAGTATGGCTTCACAACCAATATTAAAAAAGTTCAGCAGCACCCCCTTATGGCCATGATAGCAATGAAGGCAAATCCACAGTGGAGTCCATCAGTGCAGTGGTTCTGATATCCGATCCTGCTATTTCCAAAGCAGGACACTAGGCTAGAGTATGATGGCTGTGCCTGAGCCAGTGAGAAGAGGTGCTGGAGTTGTGAACTGTAAATCAAAGCCATTTGATCACATTATCATCTGCAGGAACTGGGGCCACCTGCTGCCCAGCAGTGAGAGTCAAAAAACTGCTGCCTTTCCGTGTCCTTATTACCACTTTCACACAAACGTCTCACTGTCACCCTCTGTCGCTCGGTCACTCACACAAACTTAAATAAAAACAAATTAATATGTGACATGAGGGGAGAATGCTGATGGATTATGTGTTTGCAAAACCTTTAAACCTGGTTGTAGAATCAGTGCTCTGCAGACGTTGGTAGAAAAGAGTATTCAATTGTCAATAACATTATTCTCAACACTGGAATAAATGAAAGGGTGGGTCTTAGCTACTTGTTTCACGCATTGAATGGAAAATAGATTTTACCACTTTAAAATGTTTTCATCAAAATTTAGGCAAGTTCATTTAAGTGCTTAGGGACTATTTTCTATATAATTTCAAAAAGACAGATCAAACTGATGGTAATATCTCTTTATAATACTTTCCTTTCATATGCTCACTTATGCAAATTATTAACAGTGAATTCAGTTCAGCCAAAGGGACATGATAATGCAAACCAGAAACATACTGATACACATAAGAAAAGTAAGCAATCCCAAATGAAAACCCCTTGAAATGAAGAACTTAATCAAAAAGAAAGAAGTTTAAAAACTTTTAATATATATATTTTATATAATGTATACTTAAACAAGACAATGTGTCTTCCAAAATTTGAGAAATAGATGGACAAAAAAGGAGGATAATCAACAAACAAAAACAAAACAATGACAAACAAAAAAAAAAGGTCTTGGTGTTCCTTTAGTGAAGCTCAAAGAGCAAACAACTTCTCTTCCAGCAATATGGAATATAAAATGTTTGTGTCAATATGAGCACCTTTCAATATGCTGTCCAGAACCTCTTTCAATCATGTGCCGTGATAACTCAAAGTATGCAGATTTACATTTCAACTAACAACACATCAGCTAATGTTTTGATTAATTCTCCCTGTTTGCAGGTTGAAAGTTGGTCGACCAGCTCATGAAGCATTTAGTTGGATTGTAAACCTGCAAACTGTTGCTCCAGACATACAACTACGTAGATTTAAGTGCCTCGACACAGCGTTAAAGAAAACACAAACAAAAGGTTCTAAACATCATTTGTGGAATCATTTGAAGTGATAAACGTCCACCAGGTCAGTCAATTTTTGGCCTCATTATAAAAGACATAACAACGATTGAGCTATCATTATTTAAATACGGGAACACTCAAAGGCTTATTTTTAAAAATATTTCTTAAACTTACACTATTATTACAAATGGAAAATGAAACAAAATATTGGTGCCCAACTCTTCAGCCAGGGAGTGAGAATTACTGGATCGAGGTAATGTGTCCGTCTACATTGGTCTCTATAGTCAGGCTGGGGAATAACTGTGGTCAAGCGTCTAGTCTCTATTCTCCTCTTTCCTTCTATTCTTTCGGTCTTTAACACATTACGCAACTGGCCTTAATGAAAGCTTACTCTTACACCTCCAACCAGCAGCTAGTTGGTCCACAAGTCAGTCGGGACACAGCGACATGGACTCTGAGAGCCTGACTGCTGCATCGTTCTGAGTTAAATTAATGCAGCTCTTAAAGCGAAGGTTTAGCCATGCAAGCAATCCCTGTTTGTATTCCTGACTGAGTCAATTTAGCGGCAAGCTGGTCACAGCAATCATAAATGACATGCTTGTTCCCTTTTAGAAAAGGCCATCGAGTGCGCCGTGTAGTGTCCTCTCCTCTCGATATTCCAGCAATGGTTCGGAGTTTAAAACATGCATAAAAACAGACACAAATGGATGGTTGAGAATCAAAATGGTTGTTCACACATTCTCCTGCACTCGTATGCACACTCGCATACATTCACACATGGTCCAGGCGCCCATTTGCTTATACACACGTGCAGTGCAAACACAGAAATGGCAACCCTCGTCCCCCCCCCCTTTCCCCATTTCCCCTTACTGTAGGAACGGTCCCACACTTGATTTGTAACAGCAAGTTCCAGAAAGAGCACTTGTTAAAAAAAATGAAAAAAATAAATCACAAAAATGCAGAAATATGGCTTTACATTTAAAACCGTAACAATCGATGAAATAAAAATTTGTCTTTTTCCCCAAATCTTTTCCATTTTCATAATTTTGCCTATTCTTTTTTTAAAATTCTATCAAGTTCGTTTGTGTGTATATATATGCAGTCTATGCATGGGTTGGTGTGTGTGTGTGTGTGTGTGTGTGTGTGTGTGTAGCATGGGTACAGCTGGTAAAGAGGTGGTACTTGCTGGCATAACCTGGTTTTCAAAGTGTCAAGGCTTTGATGTGGTACCCAGTGTAGTGCAGCAGAGGTCCTGCAGGGAAGCCTAAAGCCAACCCTGAGAGTACGTACAGAGACAAAGCTGCCAGTCTATCCACACAAACCTGCTGAGGTCAGTCATTCACGGCTTGTGTTTTTCATTTCATACTCTATGATCCCTGTCTTGTCTGATTTGCCAGTAAATGTGTGTGTGCGTGTCTGTGAGTGTACGTGCGTTAAAGACCGAATGAAAATGTGTCTTGTGCCGGTTTTTGTTTGTGTTGTTCCAATTCCCCAGCAGTGCAAGTGTGTATGTGGGATTGTGATCGTGTGTAAGCCTGCCTGCTTGTTCAAGAGTCTAAGTGATCATTCCCGTATGCTGGCGGAGTAGGAGAACTGAGGGAAGTGCGTACGCTGATCTGAATCCTCTGCATCTAAACTGTCATCTGGAGTATGCAGAAAGGGGGAGGGAAGAGAGAGAGAGAGAGAGAGAGAGAGAGAGAGAGAGAGAGAAATAAAAATAAAATAAGAAATACAGCCACCAGTTCAAAACAGATGTAAATGTGTATTAACATGTATAAATCCAGTCTTGAAGCACAAATGACTGATGTTGATCTACTTACATTTGTCAGGGGGAGTTATTGTTATGGTTTGTGCTGTGAACTCGTCATCAAAGTAACGTGTGTCCGTCTCTGATGTGACCTGGGGCTTGAAGGGTGGAATAAGCTGAGGAGAAGCAGAGTCATTTTACATTCTGGACATCTTATTTTAAATGTCACATCATTTGTTTTTCTCCTCCCAGCACCTCACCTTTTTTTCAATAACATCCTGCCAGTTGATGGAGGTGAAGAACTTGTGGCTCATCACATCTTTGGCATCGTCTGGTCCGCCTCCGAGCCTGTAAACAAAACAAAAACACTATCATCATCACCCACTCAGCAGCCACCTTTTCTTTATGCAGATAATTGTGCAAACACTGTCATTAGAAATGTACAAACAAGCACTTAATTTTGTGTTGTTCCCTTCTGACTTGTATTTATCAATTTCTCAACAAATGTATTCTTCATTTCCTTACTGCTTACAGGTGCATGTGTTAGTAAGGCTGCAGGCGGTGCTCAATGTGCTAATATTAGCAGTTCTTCGACTGTTCCCAGAAACACAGGGGCTCGACCAAAACAACAATCAATTATGTCCTTGTTTATGGCCATTACCCTGCACCAAAACTAATCAAGAAGGAACAAGGGCTTAATAATGTGGTTACTTATTTTATAGCTGAATATGTGGTGGCCCCGAGCACAGTGGACGGGTGTGAAGAAAATGTTCTTCTCAAGCTATACAGCTGCATCTTCGGGAGCCAGTTATTCTGCCAAACAGCCATGTTTTCACAGTACAGAAATAGTAAGCATTTATTTTATCTTAAATTAATAGTGTGCGGTTTAATATTAAAACACGTAACATATTTTGTTTTGAGTTTTTTTTATGTTACTATGCTTGCAATAAAAACATTTCAATGAAAGTGTATAAATGTAAAAAATCCGTCGCCGATTATCTAATGAGAAGTGGAGCCTGACTCATACGTCAGTATGGCCAATCGATATAGAGCACAGACGACTTATATTATTATTTAACCTAACATTTCCCACCCAGTACATTTCTTGGTCACATTCATGAATAACTAAATTCAAAGGATCCTTATTTAAAAATATTTATGCTATGTTTATATAGTTTGATGCTTTTTCACAAATGTACAATATCTCTGGGTAAAATCTTTACTTTCATCCTTTCAATACAATATTAGTGACTTTTGATATCATTTACTGAGTCAAAAAGTACGAGGGCCACCGTTGTTACATTATCATGTGCTTATTTTGATCTCAGTTATCTTCACTTATTATTCTGAATTATTCTTCATGTATTTACTAAATCAGTGCTCGATTTTTATGGTGTAATGTTGTAAAAACATACATCAGCTGCAAACCACAAACCTTTGTTTGGGATCCTTTTTGAGCAGGCCGGCCAGTAGGGCCTTGGCTTCAGGAGCCAAGTTCTTGGGAAAGCGGATCTCCTCCATGAGGATTAGCTCAAAGAGACGCTCGTGGTCCTGGTTGTAGAAGGGCAACCGGCCGCACATCATCTCATACATGACCACACCGAGTCCCCACCAGTCCACCGCTCGTCCATAGTCATTGTCCTCTAGCACCTGACAGGGTAGGAATGAAAAGAAATGAGAGATAAATAAAATAACGAACATAATAATAATCAATGTATCCTGCTACTGTAATAAAAGATATGATGTCCTTACTATATGGATGCATCTCTGCTTAGGATATTAAGATTTTGAACAAAGTCTGATATAACAAATATTCCCAACTCAGGAACCTGTTGATTGTTCCATAGGTTAATTAGCATTCGACTGTAGTGGCAGCCACAGAATCAACACTACGATTTACCAACCAGCTGAACTACTGTCCTAAATTAACTAGTTTCCATCATGTTCAACCAGCCATGTGGCATCAGTACTTATGTATAACAAAACAACTGGTCACGAAACATATTTATAGGGATGCAATGATTATGCAAACCAGAAATGATGGGCCGATACCGATCTTTAAAATAACAATTTGGCCGACAGCCAATGCAGATGTGTTTTGTTGTTGTGACTTATTGACCCTTTTGTGCCAAGGAAACAAATAAATCTATAAGTATATCTTCCTTGTTGCAGTTCAGTCTATTTCTATTCTCATCCAGAGTCCACAGCCATTATGGAGTTACCTCTGGTGCCAGGTACTCCGGGGTTCCACAAAAGGTTTTCATAGTCGCTCCGTCTGTGATCCCCTCTTTACACAGCCCAAAGTCTGTTATCTTTATGTGGCCGTCCTTGTCTAACATGAGGTTCTCCAGCTGTGCAGGGAAAGATTCAAATTAGAGTCAAATCAGTTGATGGCGGGAAAAGGACTGAAAAATTTAATATGGTACAGCACCCATTGGTACAATATATGATTGAAAATGGAAGAGGAGGACTAAACATTGTACCTAGTAAGTTAGTGCAAATGTTGTAATATTAAGATTGATTGGTTTTTGATTAGATTTTTGTTTTGTGTGCACACAAAGAGCCCAGTTATTAAGTAATTACTGAAGTTGCAGCACTGATTAAATGCCTTGCTATAACCTTAGACTGTATGATAATCTAAGGTTAGAGCATATTAAATAACATCCCCCCAGTTTATTGACAATAAATTAATACTATACCATCAGAGCAAGCAGACACCTTACCTTTAAATCCCTGTAAACTACATTGCGTGAGTGTAGGTACTCCAGTGCTGACACTATTTCTGCACCATAGAATCTTGCTCTGTCTTCTGTGAACACTCTGTCCCGCGATAAGTGAAAGAAGAGCTGAAAAATAACAAAAAGACATACAAAATTGAACGACAATTCCTTGTGGTCCTTGATTCCACAAATAATATCTGACTCGAACCCGGGCCGCTGCAGTAAGTGTGTTGGGTGAGCGTGCTACCAGGTGAGCTACCATGCACTCTAATTAGAAACATATTTTTTGAGCATGGAGTACTTCTTGTGGTCATTTTCGTGTGCGTTTAAACATTTCTGTGTGCATGCATCAACCCTGCAGTAACCAAAGCACTCCCTACAATGTATGTTAACACCTGTAGTTTTAGTCAGTAGCAAAGGAAAACAAGATGGGGGGGGGCATTACAATTAGCCATCTTCCAAAAGGTCATACACAGGTATATTAACACATCAGACAGAATTGTAGGCCAGATGAGAAAGAGGAAAACTTACTTCTCCACCATTTGCATACTCCATCACAAAGCATAGCCGGTCATGCGTTTGAAATGCATATTTTAGTGTCTGTGGAGGAGGAAAACAAAATTAGTGACGGCATTATACTGATTAAATGCTCTATTAATTTTGGAAAGCACAAACTGAGGCTACAATACAGGCACTGGTAACTCACCGTTAGGAAGGGATGCCGCGTATTTTGGAGAACTCTGCTTTCTGTAACTGTGTGAGCCACCTCATCCTAGAGAAACACACACACACACACACACACACACACACACACACACACACACACACACACACACACACACACAGAGTAATGAGAGCAAGACCACACTGACAGATATCAATGATGTTTCGAGAGAAAATGAAAAGTTAAGATTTTACTGTGCTGTGATTAGCACTTACTTTAGCAATGATGACTTCTTTGCGGAGGATTTTCATGGCGTAGTACATCCCTGTGGCCTTCTCCTTCACCAGGATCACTTTACCAAATGTCCCTTTCCCCAGAAGCTTCAGGTAGTCAAAATCACTCATGGTCTATACAAACAGGGATAGTCAGAGATAAGTTATGACAAAAAAGGTGCATACATCTAGTGCACTCACACCAGAGTGAGCTTAAACCTGGCTTAGTTTGAAGACACCATGGTTATTACATCTTAATATCTGTCTTTGTAATGTACAGGAACAGCATTTTGATGAGTCAGTGGCTCCCCATTGTATCACCACTACTAATGTTGGTGCACAACATATGATGTATTCTAACACACACATTAATCACATTAGTCCAAAACATGACATGACAATTAGAAAATTGGACCTTTAAATTAACCCTTGAGAAACAGCAGCAATGTAAAATCATTTAAATAAGGATAGGTCCATACAAGTAAAGGAACATTTTTTTCACAAAACAAGGAATCGAAATGTAACTCCTTTGAGAATCACTTATACTTGATCAGTGAACTTTAACAGCTATACATACTGTGTCATTAAACACTGGATAACAAAGTCGGCAGTAAATAGACAAACTGGCGCTATTTAAAATCAATTGAAGCGAATCAGCACAGACAAAATATATACCCAAATGTTACCCTCCACTCATTTAATGGTTGCTTCACCAAAAAAGCTTTGAGAAAGAGGCTTAAAGTTTGAACAACTTGCTCAATAAAGATGAGCTTAGCTGGACAAACACAGCAAACACTCAGCTGCCAGCCACTGCTTGTGCAAATACTGACCACTTTTGTGCGGGATTTGGACACAGCAATCTCCATCTCCTCTGTGCCACTGCTGTCACTTGGTGAGCCAAATTTGATCTCCATGGGCTCCTCATCCTGCTGCTGACTCTTCAGGCTATTTGCCACTGCCTGGATCGATCGCATCCATTCCTCCCTGACCCAGAAGGAAACACACATTGCCCTGATCAAATCTAGCAAAAGCCATGTCTACATTACTCTGAATCTATTCTAAAAAAAAATTATAAGCTGGCAGGAAGATTTGCTTTAAGATACAAATTGTAGTTAGAAATGATTGTGAACTCTTTGTATTCGAACAGATGGTACAGATGTTATGCCGAAATTATATCTTAAAGGAAAAACAGTAGTCCAGCAAGGTTCAGAAGGTAGAGGATAATCTGGGGGGCTGCTGGGATTTGGTACTTGGCAGAGCCGACGTAAACAAAACTCAATGACGATTGCTTTGGGTTAGGGGTGAATAAATCAGGTTTTAATCTGGCACTGAATTCTATTTTGGGCATGATGGTCTTTCCTACTCTCACAAACTAAAGTGGATTTCACTGCCTGTGAACAAAGGCCCATTGAGACCCTCTTGTGTTTGATACTGTGAAAATGTTCTTTGTGTCTTTCTGTCCTTACTTCATTTAAGGAAAGACCATTCAAACTTGTCTAAGCTAACACAACACACTAAAATTAATTTCAATTCAGAAAATATTTTTCAGTGAAATGTTGAGTTTATCTCATGTAAAAACAATCTTCAAACATTTCCCCCAAAGGCACTGTCAAAACTTCTGTCACACTGTAATTTATAATGGGGCACAGAGCTTTAATGGTCTCAGCAGAGTACCCACTCTGTCTGTCCCTCTCCTAATCATTTGTTGTTAGTTTAGGGAGCAAAAAGAGATTTCATGTTGTTCTGGTGTTTCCGTGTAGACAGACAACTTTTCAAAAACGACTTGAAGTGTGGACTGAAGTTGTTTTTCATATTTTTTTATTTGTAAATTTAATACACAGATGTACTGGCCTACGTCCACTATGGGCAGCACTCTTTCACTAAGGCCTATTCTACCAAAGAGGCAGAATATACAACGTAAAAAATGAAAACATTGGAATTAATCTTTTACCTCTCATCGTTGCTGTCTACGTGGAAAGTTCGCTCAATAACTGAGGTCCATTGCAGGCAACGGATGACAAATGTGTTAGGCCTGGGGCGCTCTGTCTTCATCAGCTGGCATTCTACAAGGCATAGACACATCACACATCAGTTAACACAGAAGAACTGAAGGCACTAACAATGAAACATAAACACACTTCTAAGAGTTAAATCTGGCACTCATTGAAATGTGCCAGCCAGAAGGGAAAACTAACCTGCGACTGAGAAGTTGTTGAGTGGTGGGAGGCTGTGGTCACTGGACACCTCGGGCTTCTCTTTGTAACCAATGAAAGATCCATCGCTCTTTAAGATGAAGTAACGAGGCCGCCATGTTTTAATGTATTCACCTGAAAAACACACAGATTTTAAATCCAACTGTTAACTAACTTTAATGTTTGACTACTTGCTTGTGTGTTTGGCTTAAAAAATGGCTAAATACACTACTCCCTGTGACAATATTATAACGATAGGAATGTTTTGTAAGTGGCTGCACTGAGCTGAGCACAGCTGTCCACTCCACCAATCAGGAAACTGCAAACTTGACAGATACCTTACAAACCTACGGGGTTAGGATTTAATAACCAAAATGCAGATTTTGACATGGCCTATCACTTTAATGTAGACTTAGAATATGGATGGTGAACACAACGGGCCCCCTTACCTCTCTTGTGAAGCCATCCCTCTCTCACAACACTGACTTCATTCATGCTGGGGCAGAAGACTCTCTGGGTTGGAAGGGGGCTGCAGACAAGCTGGTGGAAATTGTGCAAACTGTTCCTATTGGTCAAGTGCCTGAAAGTGGCTTCGATAAAAAAAAAAAAAAAGCTATATAATATAATACCTGGAGGAAAAGAAGAGAAATAAATACTGTTAATGCAGAAAACAAAATTACAGACTGTCCATAAAATACAAAAACAATACTCGTGTAAACTGGTGTAGCTTTAACATGTCATTACAACTCACAGAGACCATCAACATGCATTGACATGAGAAGAGCTATAAACCATCTGTATCAGAACAAAACATCACAAAACTAACAGAATGTCAAGTGAATACTCAATATGAGTCAGCGCAATGTTACGCTTTGTTAAAAACCACAACTGACTTTTAAATGTGTGAGCAAAACAGCTGTGATACTTTTGACTATTACCAATTCAAGTTCTCAGTTTGAATAAAATCATGGCCTTGGGTGCATTTTTTTTGCCTTCTTGGATGTAGAGGAACAAACTGAAAGATAAAATGTGAAAAGACATATGGCCTGAAGGAAGTAAAACTACAGCCAGGAAGGTGGAGGTTAAGGCATAAAGTGAAACCTATTTCTCAAAACAAAGGAAACTTTCTGTGTATTGCTCTTGATCCCTATCTGAGTGTTGTCACCACAGCACTGCGCTTGAATAAATTCCTCACCTTCTGAGGCACTCTGTTGCCTTGAAACCCAACTCCACAACAAAGAAAACTGCTGAAATATGCACGTCTTCTCACCAGCTCATATCTGTCCATCTGACACTTATGACAGTGTGACATCCAAAAAGGGACTAACAGAATGACTATCATGACCAAGAGCGAGAACTTATAACATCAGGCACCTACATCATCTCACCCAACTCTCCTTTGTATACCTCAGTGTTTCAGTGTCATGGGATGACATGTTTAAATACACTAGCTATTGTTACTGGTGATGCCAGCTAGAAATCAAATATTGAATATGCCACTGATCTAAAGATTAGCAAAATGGCTTCAAAGCTCTTTATTGTCAAATGTAATAGCCTCCCACAGCTCCTGCTGAATGTTTGTGGAGAGGCCTTGGTGACCCTGGGTCAGTCCTGAATCAACAGCTTATGTTAGATAATGGGTTTACCAGAATTTCACAGTATTTCAGTGAAAGTGATGGGGTTGAATATTACAGTGCATACAGTCAGCAGAATACAAAGACTGTTTGAACTGCTTTGTTTACAAAGATAAAAACAAGATAAGGCTTCCCACCACTTCGGACTGTTTTGCGGCCACCAGAGGTGCGTCCACTGTTGTTTACAGCTCTACTACACCGACTACTAATTTGAATGGCCAGAGTAATAGTGGCTGATCTTTGGCACAATAAATAGAACAACAACTTCCCTGTAGATTGTTCACCAGTAGAAAAAAAAAAAAAAAAAAAAAACACACAACAAAAACAAGTTCAATGGTCAGGAGGTCTAACGTAGCTACAACAATATCCAGTCAAGCGTTAAGATACTTGGTTTACATGTAGCTAGCACAACTTGAGGAAATGATAAAGAGACCATATATATCAATACTTTACCTAGGTATCCAGTTAGATAAATATATTTCATTGAAGTCTGGAAAATGGCAAACTACACCGAGTACAACCACGAGCTGCCTAGCGTAAACATTAACCTAACATGAACACATCATCCTCCTCAGTGTAGTACGTTACCTAGCTAACTGGGGCAAAGTCAAGAAACGGTACCTTCCAAGTCCAAGGCAGGTCGGTGGCTTTTCTATCTGAACTTGACAGTAAACAAGTTGCTACAACACTAAAGCTAAAGCCGATGGGCAGTCTGTCCAAGTGGCGCCTCGGACAGCAGTGAGGACACTGACCATGACCGCACTACGACCAAACAAGGCAGCTAGCCAAAATAGCTTCCGAGCTAACAGCTAGTTAGCATGTTAGTTAGCCACTTGCGCTAGTTCTCCACATTACCCCGGCGTTTCTTACCTCGACTTCAGCGACAAAATATCCCCAGCTGTCGGTTTCTTGAAGAGGCTCGAAGGTACGCTGCACAAAGCTCCCACCAGCTATCACTTGACGCTTGTGTGTATTGAACTCTGTCAATGATCACACAGCTTAGCGGACTAACCCTTTGCCGAGCTTGTTTTCTTCTCTCACAACAACAGCGGCGGCGGCGGCGGCGGCGTGCTCGGTCTGTTGCTGCTGCAGTGGTTCACTGAAGGGTATGCGAGCCAGCGAGAGAATAAAGTCCACTGAGCTCCAACTTGATGGCTAGTTATGTTGAATACGACGACAAATGATTTCCAAATCCTGGACAGATAAAAAAATAAAATAAAAAAAAAGCCGCCTCTTTATGGGGTTTAATGCGGTTAGTCGCCTGCTAAGCGTGGAAACCCTCTGTCCCAGCCAGACAGTACAGCAGCCCCGCAGACAAATACAAAGGAAGTGACGTACGAGGCCAGAGAGGGTCCACTGCACCTGAACAGTCGGTGTGAAAGTACATCAAGTACTATATAGTGTAACCTTAACCTCGGCCCGGCTGTACAGAGCTGGTGTAGAGATAGGTAGTGTAAAAAAACTTAAAAAGACTCGTGTCAAATGTCCCACAATGTGTGCCCCCACCTCCTCTTCACAGAACAGTTATCTGTCAGTCTACTCACTGTTTATGATTTACATGTGAACCTTGAACTACTACAGCACTGTGTGTAAAGTGGAGTGATCAAACAGAGAGAAAATGTTATAAATGTTTATTATTCTGAAAACATTTCCTAAAAAAACAAACAAACAAACAAAAAAAAAAAGCAGCCTCTTTTTGATACACAGAATGAATCATGTCCTCCAAAGCTTTCTGTCAGAGAGCTTTACTTTGTTGTCTCTGTTGCTTTCGTTGCAGGTAGCGAGCACGAGCATCGCTGACAGTGGTTTCATTGTTTCGCTTCTCCAGTTTCTTCGAGACATCCTCAGTAGAAACCTCTGAAAAAAAGAACAAGGTAGTTTGTTATAAATGACACAGCGTAGCCATGTTTTAACTTTATTCACCCTGTGGCCTTTTGATTTAACCCTATTAGGCAAACTGACCATTTCTTGCATGATCATAGCAGGGACTTCAAATTAACCATGAAGCTGCATAACATCACAATCAACAAATAATTTTCTAATTAATTATTTTGAAAACCTGGTTGTCTTTTGGCTGCTTCCCTGGTCTCCCACTTTATCATCTCCTCATCAGTCACTTCTTCTCTTGCCACACTGCTCAGTTCGTAGGCGTCCACCTCATGGAGTTTAGGTAATAAGTCCTTCACCCACTCATACCGAATAGGACACGCGGTCCTGATATACACCCGTGAAGTCACCAGCACATCGTGGAAGATGACCCAGTTCAGTTCAGCCTCCTGGTCAAACAGCTTCAAGCAGCGAGGAATGACGAACAAAGGAGAAATCAGAGAAGAAGGATGAGAGCTGTCCTCTATGAAAACCCTGTTTTATTAGTAGTATTTTTTTAAACGAATACACATTTACCGATGATGATGGATGAATTTGAACCATGGATCCGTTGCCATCCATTGTGCAAAACACCTTTCCAATAGACCTATGTGGGTTGAAAAAATAAAAAATAAACTGAATAATCTGTCACAACCAGCAAAATAATGACATTACTAAGACATAGTAAATGAATACAAAAGGAGAGTTAAATATGGATAATTTAAAATGAACCTTGGTTGTACCTTCTGGCAACATTGTTGAAGTATCCTGTGCACAGGCATCGTCTGAAGATTTCACTCTTATTGCCATCAAATGTTTCTACAGGGAAATCTCTCTTCTGCAAGGAAAAATAATAATAATCACACTCAAATTAATTATCACAGCAGTGTGTTTGCAAACAGAATTCATTTATAAATTACAAACTGCAAAAAAGTTTACTACAATTGTTCAAGTACCACATGAATGTGGGGTGCAATCATGCTCTATCACAGCAGCTCTGCAAACCTGTTGGAGGCGGAGGAGGATCTCTCGCAGCTGGGTCTCCACACTAAAGGCCGACTTCAGCGCCCTCCAGTGGATCCAATTGTCCTTACACCACGCTGAGGGTCTGTCACTGCAGGATGTAAGAGAAAGGCTTGTGATAATATCATTATGTGGCATCAAGCCCTGAATACATGGCAGGTGATTGACTGACATGTATCTGCACACACAAAAAGAAATAATATGGATGCATCTGGCAGCATTGGTCAGTGAAATTCTTCACCTGGATTTACACGACTGAAACACACTGAGGAGTGTGGCAAAGTCGTTCATGCTGCCACTCTTGGTAGCCAGTGCTCTGTGCCTTTTATCTGCCTCTTTCTGCTTCTCAGGGTGACCTGCAGAAAAGAAGAGATGAGTCAAAAATGTATAAACTCAAAGCCTTCACACTGCACTTCTCTGCATATGCAATTTCCTTACACACTAAATAAATAATAAAAAAATGTTTAATATCTCTGCTACTCCCTTGATATAACCTAAATATTACAGATAACACAGTTCTGCTTTAAAGTGCTGACCTGGCCTGATGAAAATGTTCTCTACAGACAGCATGGCAGCCACGGGGAGAAGCAGGTCCTGACAGCCGAGTGAGGCTGCTTTGAGCACGGCCCTGGTAAGGCCTGGGTGCAGGGGGAACTCCACCATCAGCTCCCCCAGCCGGGTCACTCTACCTCTCCTACAGCCAACACACCGGAGAGATTAGAGCTTGTGAAATTTCACTGTGAACAACGCTACTGCTGTGCTTGGAAAACTTAAAGCTTGATTCTGGTCCACAGGTATAGCCGCTCACCTGTCTATAGCATCAAATTGGTAGAGTTGTTTTAACGCCTCAAGAATAAACCGTTCCTCGGGACAGTCCAGATAAGGGAACCTTAAAAGAAAACAACTCGTTACTAAAGAGGGTAAAGAGAGCTTAAAGAAATTATGAACTGTGGGAAACCAAACAGCCTCATTATGGGCATCGGTGTACCTAATGACATCATGAACACCCAGGCACTTGAGAGTGAGTATCACTGCAGTCAGACTTGTCCTCTGGATTTCTGGAACTGTATATTCAGGCATGCTCTTCTCCCAGAATTCTTTGGTGTAGATTCGAAAGCATTTCCCGGCTGAGGTTCTTCCAGCTCGACCCGCTCTCTGCTGGGCCTCGCTCCTAATCACAGAAAATCCCCCAAAAAGAATCCAGTCCAAATCTCTGCTGGTAAGCTCTCTTAATGGCATTGGTGTCAGCAGTAAAATTACTTAAACAAATCCTTTTTGCTGGTTCGAAATGACATAAAACTCACTTTGAAATAGGCACCACCTCCAAGATATCCATGCCCACCCTTGAGTTGTGGTTGAGTTGCTTCACAAACCCGCTGTCTATGATGTACCTTTATGGGGGAAAAATTGACAAGAATTATGTTATTATGTTTTGTTTTTTTGCAGAGATTTCTGGGAAATATCAGATTGATGCTGATTACACAAACAATTCACTGTTGTTGTGGTAAGCCAGTGACCACAGGCCTCACTCACTTAATGCCATTGATGGTGAGAGATGTTGCTGCAATGTTAGTGGCCACTACGCACTTCCTTATTCCTGAGGGTGGAGGCTGAAAGATCTGCCTCTGTTGATCTGTGAAATGTATTTAATAATTCACAGTATTTCTGTTTTATTTTGCAGTTTAATTACAATAAAAGCACAAAGAAATACACTGACTTAATCTGGAAAAGGCTAAAATGTTAATCTACTAAACAATGAGATGAACAAAAGATGCAACAGTTGCAGGCATTTACCAGTGGGCATGGATCCATAAAGAGGCAAAATAAGAAGGCCCTCCACTGTTTGGTCCTGTACATCGTAGCGGTAGTCTATAGACTCAGCTTTCTCATACAACAAGTCACAGGCACGCTCAATCTCTGACTGACCTGTCAAACATGCACAATTAATGTCACAGATTTTGTCAGGGTTAAGAAGTATACTGATATAGATAAGAACTATAAAGATATATCCAGAGACAATTAAATCGCTATACAAATATGTGAAGATTCAAATCAGTGAGATATAAAATTAATCGTGATATAAAGAAGCAAAGACTTCCGTTTTAATTTTACAAATTTTATAACCTACCTTAGAAATAAAACAATATAAGAGAAAATATATTTTGTAGTAGAATCTTCTTCATCATTTGTCTTCAATCTCTTTTTGTTGGAAAGATCATGAGAACATTTAATTGTGAGTTAAGTGTGTAGTTACATCCCTAGTCACAGAGGCTGATAATTATAATTTACCTGTCAAAAACACAAGAATATCCCCAGCCATTTCACTGGTATGCACATCAAGGGCCACTTTGACAACCTGAGGAGCAAAAGATGCCAGATTAAATGAATGCCAACAACGTGCATCTAAACTTGTTTAATGAATGATTGTTAGTTAAAATAAAGAAACCCAAACACGTGACCCAAAGCTGAGACTCAGTACCTCTTTTACATAACCAGTGCTCTCTACGTCTTTGGGTCCTACAGCAAAGCCAAACGTGCAGGTAACAGGAAAAGTCCTGCCAGGAATCGAAAAGACGGGACAGTCAGCGAGAAACGCTGAGAGTTTGTCAGTTTCCAGCGTGGCGGACATCACCACCACCTTCAAAGGGAAAAATCGGCCCTTGGTGGCCTTAGCAGGGTCGGAGAAGATTTTCTTTAACAAACCCAGGAGAATGTCCTGCAACAAATACACTTTATCAATGTGTGCATTGAAAGAGTGACAGAAAGAAGAAAATGTGTATCTAACAGCATTAATGATATATGTCAGTGTCATATATTGACTCACTGTGTTAAGGCTGCGTTCGTGGACTTCATCCAAGATTACCACACTGTACTGAGAAAGTACAGGATCTGCCAGGACCTCTCTGAGCAAACAGCCGTCTGTCATGTATTTCACCACCGTGTCCTGGCTCAAACACAGTCACATCTTCACGTTATTGGATATTTACAATAAATACACTGGGTTGGTTACAGGGGATGAGTCGTCTTTGCCTCTCACCTGTGATGTGCAGTCATCAAAGCGTACTTGGTAGCCAACCTCTCTACCCAGAGTGCACTGCATCTCCTGGGCAACCCTCTGGGCCACCGTGATGGCAGCCACCCGGCGGGGCTGGGTGATGCCGATTTTGCCATCTTTACAAACACCTGCACAAAAAAAAAAAGAAGAGAAAGTGTTTCATGTGAGATTAAAATGGTCACATTTGTATCCTAAATTGCCAACATTCATACAGGCCAACAAACCAACAAACTCCCATTAAATTGTATCTACGCTCGTCTCGATGTAGTTCTGATCTCATGTCAGCAGTAAAGTTAACTTTCTATTAACAGAGACAGGACACAGAGACAGGACACCGTAACCACAGCTTACCTGCTTCATACAGGTACTGTGGAAGCTGTGTAGTTTTCCCGCTGCCAGTCTCACCGGTGACAACCAGGAAAGTGCTGTCTTTGACGGCCTGAATCAGCTCGGCTTTGTGCTGATAGATCGGCAACGTTTTGGACTCATTTACTTTTGAGTCCCACCGCTTTGATTTGGACATCACTAACAACTCTGACTGTCTTATCCCGCAGATATCAGTGTGCTGAGCTCAACGGAGGAGATAAATACTTGCGTTAATCATTCGGGACAGATTTAGTTGGTTTTTGTGCCAACAGACAGTATTAAACTTTACAAAACAGTCTTTCACATTTCTTCCTCTCGTTTCAACGACGACATCCTCGCTCAATAACTTCCGCAAACTAACCCATTCTGCGTTTGTATTGGTCGACTTGTGAGCACGTGACTTAAGCTCCTCTACCACAATAAAAGTCTGTCTGGACCACTTTTTATTTACATCTGCAAACACCAAATAATTAGAACATAAAAAGAAGTTAAGTCAATTTGTTCATTAGTACATTAGTATATTTATTAAATTAAACAAAATTAAATCAGAATACTGGCTGCTTTCTATGTGTGGAAAAGGGATAAGAACCCCTTATATTAATAATATTTGTGGATGTAAAATTTGCCCAAATTATTTATAAGATGCCTCTGAGGTCTTCACCTCGAGCCCACCAACCATATGGTACATGTATTAATCATACACAGATAGATTAATGCATACATCTTATGATCTATCTATATACCGTAAAGAAAAAAATACCTGAGGGATACGTATTCCTAAAACATTATTTATGTTGAATAAAACTAGTCTTTACCACTGTAAACCATCATCAAATATAGAAGACCAAAAGAAACCTGGAAAGTGTGTGTATTTCTTTTTATTGTAATCATAAAAATGGTCTCTAGTAACTTCTATCTCAATTTAAAAGTGGACCTTCTGACAACTTGCATTATTAAAAATTAATTTGATAAAATCAAAAGTAGTTGAAAGTGAAAAAGACTAAAATCACATTTATAGTAAAGTACAGATTTATTTTTCACAGAACAGTTGCTTCCAAATATGACTTGACTATACCACTTGGTTATTTACAGTAGATAAAGAAGTGGTCCACCAGAGACTACACTGTAAAGAATCCTTTGTCCTGGCCCTGGTGTGATTCTTCTTAATTTACGCCTTCCTGAGAGACAAGAAAAACAGAGAGTATCGTTCACAGTCCTACATGCAGGCAAGTGCGGCAATCATTAACCCAAAATAGATTCATAAATAGGCTGCAGCTCCACTTACCACTGCTGCAGGACTGTGGGCAATCTGGTCCTTTACAGATCTCTATATCACAGTGGAAATATACCTGAAGGAGAACATACTATTTAAAAAGAAATCTCCACCAGAAAATACCAACAATTCATTTAAAAAAGAATCCCTTACCAAATGTTCAAATGTTGGGGGCTTCACAAATGAGAACATCTTGACCACAAACCACTTATGAAGAGAGGGATACTTCAGCTCCTTACTGGAGACAACTGGCAGCACAACAGTTTTGTGGTTATCACCTGTGAAAGGACATCTGGATTGGACATAAACATTAAACTACATGTAATTGAGCTTTCACACATAATATCAGTAAAATATCATCATTCATTTCATGTGAATTCACCCTTTAACAAGCAGGTTCCATCTTTGTGGGTCATGTGGGTTTTTAGTCGGTGTCGCCCAGCAGTCCTGGAGCAGCAGCGTCAAATCCTTGTCCTTATGTTTAAGAGCAGACACTTCCACATACACAGGCTGACCAAGCTCAGTCATGATTGGAGGGTCTTGAAATGAATAGAAAGACCCGTATTTGGAATCTATAAATAAAGTATTAGAAAAAAAGAAATATATATTAGAGGGCTTTATGTTTGAAACTGGTATTAATTTATAATCTTGATGGTACTTTCTATGGATATTTTGTTGAATAATACATAATAAAATAAGGAATAAAATAAAAAAAAAATATAAATTTGACCTTTGGCAAACCTCATTTCAGTCCTCAAGATTCCCTCACTCTTCAGTGTTGACAGGAACTTTTGTCCCTGAACCTCGATGCCCAGATGAGTAATTTGGCCCAGTGCAAAGGTACAGCGCACAGTTAGACTAAAAAAATAAATAAAATAAAATAAAAACAAAATGAATGTCCATTGCCTTTAAAAAGCAAGAGAAGAGTTTAATTTCTTACTGGAACGGAGTGTCACGGAATATAGAGCCTCTCTGCAGATGTTGTTTCACCTCAATGTTGACCCAGTAGGTTATAATGCCATCTGCTGTCTGCAAGACACAACCAAACTTAGGCACAAAAATACCATATGGCCTGTCTAAAGAATATGGATGGGATGGAATTTATTTATATTTACTATGGACTGAGTGCCACAGTCAGAGAATGAGAAGCTGAAAGTGACAGCCTCCATGGATCTTTTTTTGGGTTTACAGGTGTGGCTTTGGTTTGAAGGGATCCAGACTGCATCCAGGTTCAGAGGTGGGACTGTGGCATTCTGAGGGATGGTAATGTTGAACCCATCCTTGTTGCAGAACAAATGTCTTGACACCAGTGGATAATCAATTTTGTTCACTTCTGTAGAAAACACACTGAGAATTAATGACAAACTAAATTCTGAAACATAATGTTATATTTATCTGTACACTTTGAATCATACCTTTAGTTTTCCTTTGACAGATGAGGGGTATTGACTTGACAATTTCAACTCTTCCCCTGTCTGCATGTGCCATAATGACAACAGTCAGATCTGTGGTATATTTCTATTGAACAAAGTGGTAAAGAAAGATTAGAAAATGAAGAAGACAGTTGGATAAATCTGAATTAAAGATAACCACACACCCCAAAGACCTTTCAGCTTACTTGTCGTCTCACAAAACATCCGTGAATAGCAACTGTTAAGATAATGAAGGTGTCAGTTTCGCCAAGGATGTAGTGGCATTGTTTCGCTACAGCGATGGCTTGGTAATATCCACTGTGTTCATCTGTGTGTAAATTTGGACACAAACAAGAGCACAGCTAACATGTCAAAGCTATGTGTCATCATCGAGAAGATATATTTTAAGTGTCTGACTTACCCTGAACATAAATGGCAAAAGGAAGATCAGCAAATTGCACCTTTGATATGGAAACAGACATGAACCCATCATGGCAAATCGATGTCTTATTGTTCATAGTGTTATTGACTGTTGCTTGAAATTGTTTTAAGGCAGCTTTACATCTCAAAAGAAGCAGTGATAATGAAATAAATGTCACCAAAATGAAGTCTGTACTGTAGGCCTTCATCTTTGGAAACTGAGACTCCCTGACAGGTGGAGCAGCTGCTTCTCATTCAGCTTAATTGGCACGACTCACATGAGAGTGAAAGCAAGTAAAAAAACTCCCTATGCCTTCTCACAGCATGAGGATCCTGTGTAAAAATCAACTGCTTTGTGTGGCCTCTGTGGAGATTGTTCCTCTTGTGGGCTTCCCCTATGCAGGTGAATAAGAAACTCAAAACACCCAAAAGGCTTATATTTTGTCAGCAAGTAAAACTAAAGGGTTTAAAAGTAATTTACATGGTTTCAATACATTTTTAACACATCTCACATACACAGGTTTGTCTCATTCAACACAAGATCTTTATTTGATGAAGTGTACCAAACAGCACACATTGTCTAATAGATGTACAGGCAGTGAAATACAGTGTATAAGTAAGTAAGTTTAAACTATTTATCAAAATAAAAAAAATAATAACTGAACGTATGTTGAAAATATCTTAAATATCTATATAAACTGTGTCCTTGGTTGTTTACGGGCGGTCGAGCTGGTCTGTGCTCCTGTTGTAAATTGGGTTTTTGTATTCACAATCTGAGAAGGAAACAATGGAGAAGTGGCAGTTCAGCGCACAGTATCATTTCATCTCGAACATTCCTACAGATGAAGTCATGACTCACTTTCATTGACTTTCTTCTTCCCTAAACCTGCAAAACAAAACACTTCAGTGATTGATCAAACTGATTTTTGGTTTCACATTAGGCTCTTTATTGTCACGCACAGATAAATGACTCTGATGGATGAAATCAAACCTAAATACCTCTGTGCTGATTCTTCCCTGGAGCTGGCATGGCTTGTTGCTTGCTGAGTTCATTTCGGTTCACTGTGTAATAAAATTAATGAGTGAAATTCCTGACAGCACTGAAATGATGTGATTATAATAAAAGATGCTCATATTACCGTAGTAATGACGACTGAGACTTGATTGCCGTAATCTGCTGAAGAGTTCTGGAAAGGTGAGAGAAGACTGAATGACTCCAGTTTCTCATAATAAGATGATTCACCAGTAACACAAACTGTAGTAATGTCATTAAATATTAAGCACCTGTATGAAATCGCAGTCTTCTTCTCTGACTTTCCACCCTCTCAACATTAAACTGGTTCAAGTTTGGATAAACCCCACTTGTGCTTTGTTCAGGCAGAACTCCTGGCAGACTGCACTGATTTCTGGTGCCCTGCTGGTTGACTGGGCCTTGGTCATCATTTTCTGATATTTAAAACATTTAAAAATTAAATTTAAAAGATGAATCAACAGATGACATGGAAATAAAGGATCAAAGGAGGAAGAAGAGCTGTGTGTGTGAACGCACCATAAACAAGATTATCTTCTCCTGTAGGAAAGAGAAACACATTACATTATAATGAAACAAAACAGAAATATTACTTCAAGTATATCCATCACATGTACTATGTAGCAGTGTTTTTCAAAGTATGGTATGTGAACTACCCCTGATATGCAAGCTGCCTCTAGTGGTATATTATAATATGTAGCCTATATTAAAATGTTTTAATTAATTTATTTAAAAACATGTAACACTATCCACAAATGAAAATAATTGCTGAAATGTAATTTAAAATAAGTTTTGCATTTCCTGTAATTTTTTGTTGCTTTGTAGTCAAGTTCATGAGTGTAGCACGGGCATATATCCATGATTAGTTACGAGCTAAAATGTGATGGTAAGATAGTAAACAGAGGTAAAATGAATAGTTCAAAAACGCTGCAATCGTGGGCTAAGTGTGGACCAGGAGTACCCCTTTTCCACCAAATGAACACTCGTTCCAATTCAACAACAGTCAACAATAAATAATCTTCTTATTAGGAGCAAACCTGTCTCCTGTGTGAGCTGGAGCTAGGGTCAGCCTACACTACTGTATTTTAATGTCTGACATAATGGTGGTTATGTCTAATATTTTTTGAAGGTGGAACCCACTGTAAAACGTTTGAGACTGTGTGTGTGTGTGTGTGTGTGTGTGTGTGTGTGTGTGTGTGTGTGTGTGTGTGTGTGTGTGTGTGTGTGTGTGTGTTGTTATTGCAATAGATTACCCCTCTGCTGCACATTTACTTCCACAGGTGGAGCACTGGCACCTGCAGTGAGACATTATATGAATTAACTAAAAGGATTAAACAATTAAGTTAATAGTTAGTTTTAATAAACTTTAGAAGTGCTGGTAGGTGAATTTTTTACCTTCAGATAGGCACATTGTTGGTCCTGTAGTCCCATAATTAAAACATTTTAAATTAGCTACTTTAACTAACAACAGTTTTTAATGAATTGAATCCATTGTATTTGTGTTAACTGGATGTATAACTACCGTTGCTGTCATTTTGCCAACTGGTTGTTGACACTTGATGCTGTCTGAAATTTCGGATAACTCAGAATTTGGAATTACTACTGCTTTAAGACCAAGTTGCTCATAATTGTGCTCTATTGTGGCTAGAGCCTGGCTCGCCATTCACCCCTTTTTCCAGTCTTTGTGCTAAGCTAAGCTAGTCACCTTCTGGTGTTAGCAATTCACATTTAGCAAGCATTGAAAGACTCTGTATATCTCCAAATTAATTCCATTCATATTGGCTACTAATACAATTTATCACTGTCTTTTTTCCTATATGCTCTTTGATGTACATTTTCAATTTCCTGTGCATGCTATATCTTTATGTAATGACTTAACAGATGCAACTCTTCATAACAAATCAAATGTTATTCAAATGTAAGTTGCCTTAAAAACAGGTCAGAAACAACAGATGAAACTAGTAGGCTCAATGGCCTATTAAATAATAGCCTTAATTAAAAATAATAAGTTAATTATTCTCATGAATGATAAAACATCAAGAAATGCGTCCTACAACTAGAAGTGGGGGCATTGATGTTAGCAGTGGCAGCGGAAGATCTTTTGACAAAATTAAAGTAGCTGTGAAAATGACCACATCAACAAAACTGGATAACTACGTTTATATTCCTGTGCTCTGGTGTAAAAATAATTGTGCTTACCGTCATTTCCTGCATTTACAAGATTGGTCGTGTTGTCCTGTGGTCTGTGAATGCAGCACACTGGGGAAAAAAACAAAAAGTGTTTTTAAATAACCAACCAATCCATCTGTTTATCCATCCACCCATCCTTGGAACTAATAAACCACACACTTCTATCAACTGTATGTCAGCAGGTACTCACATATGCATTTTATGCAGAAGTAGCCACCAGCAGTCAGCAGGATTAAGGCAGCTACGCCAACACAGGAGTAAACCAGCGGCAGCAAGTTGTTGCTCTGTAAAACTGCATGAAAAGTTGTGGTTTTACAAATATGCATATGACAGGAAACTCTAGCTTCATTTGTCCTTTCACAAGTGTGTGGCCTACGAGATTTGTGAGCATGGAAAGGAAGAGGCCTGGTATCTCTGCTCAGATGTGAGAAAACAATTCTGTCAAACATTAAAGTAGAAATCCTCTCACCTCTCTCAATCAATTCTACTTGAAAACAGTTATTATGTTCCACACAGCGATAACACCCAAGGTCAGTGTCTGTAAGCTCATCGATGCTGATGGAGTGGTTCCCCTTTGAGGCATGGTTTGGGAAGGCTTTCACACGGCCATGTCTGGGGTCTATGAACTTAATAATCCCGTTAGATTTGAGGCGGACCAGGTGACTATCATTGTGGATCCATGACACCCAGTTGGAGTTATTTGTTGTAAACTCACAATGGAGGAGCACAGAGGACCCAAGTGGAGCGCTTAGCGTCTGGGTCTCACAAGATTCACGATTCTCAAAGCAGTCATCTTAACAGGAAGAGAGAAATACAATAACAAGTTTCAAAGTTTAGGTCACTTAGCTCAAATAACCAAGAGTGACAGTAGAAACTCTTCTTCTACTCAACAATTTCAATTCAATTCAATTAAAGAAAACTTTATTTATTCCCGAAGCGAAGGGCAATTCTCGAGGCAGGCATAGTAAAAAAGAACAAAGACACAGGACATATGCAAACAATACATGATAGACGTACAGTGACCATGTGTCAGAGATACAGTGACTACATATGACAAGCAGCAGCAAAGTTATTGGTCAGGGTTGAGAATAAATTCAAATGTAATTGGACAACTACTTTATTAACTGAGCAAAATAATATAACCTTTATTATTATCAGCGAAATTTATTTTTAAATTATTAGTTGTTTAAAAACATATCATATAACACTGAAACTGAATAAAAGACTGTAATGTAACAGATTCTAAATCTGCCTGCAGATCATTATGAAGAAGCCCATTATTACTAGATTAATCAATAAACAACATTTAATAATGATGACATCGGCGGTATATACAACATATATCGAAATATAGATAGCAAAAATAAAATCTTAATTCATTTTACATGGTAGAAATATCTTTTAATCAATGTACAAATAGATTTTTTAAAATCAATTTAAAATAATATTTTTCGTTCTCTAATTTCAAAAAAGGCCTTACCATCCGAAGACACACACATGAAGCACAGAGCTAAAAGAAAGATCAACATGTCACCGTCCATTGTCAGCATCATCTACAGTGTGACCAGCAATGTGGTAATGCATGCGTGCAAAGCCCTCTAAGCATCATGGGACAAAACCACAAGACCATCACAGTTCATTTAGTTACGGAAACACTTTCGGTTTCACATGAACACCAGCCAAATGTCTGACAAAACTATCTTTTTTCAAAGTGTATGGCAATGTCACACATAAACACATTAATGTTTAACACAATGATCATAGAAAAATGAAAGGCCTGAAGTGACTCCTAAAGACCACTTCCTGTAGACACCTGTTGATGCTTCCGGAGAAAGGGTGCTTCGGTCTGCACATAGTGTCACATGAAAATGTCTATTGTCACCCGGGGTTATTATTTCCTTACTCTTACTGTTTTTATACTGTTTTTTCTCTATCCACTTTGCTGCTGTAACATTGGAATTTCCCCACTGTGGGACAAATAAAGGAATATCTATCTATCTATCTATCTATCTATCTATCTATCTATCTATCTATCTATCTATCTATCTATCTATCTATCTATCTATCTATCTATCTATCTATCTATCTATCTATCTATCTATCTATCTAATCCCAAATAAGCCTAATTTCAGTTTGACACCCACAAACTGCATGGGCTGTATGGACATTTGAGTGGACTGAATAAACTCGAAGTGGACTGTGACCTCAGCAAGTGTCTTATTGATTTTAAAATGTAAATGAACTAACATGTAAAATTGGTGGAGTGTCCCTTAAAACAATTCTGTATACAAGACAATGGCTGATACGTCACTACACTATTCAGTTCCATACAACATAGCCTATAAATTACTGTCAGTTTTCCAGTGTAATCTTGGACCTGCATTGATTCATAATTTCAGACTCACATTTCCTGAAGTGTTTTGTGTTTTATTTATAATTACTATATTTTATAGTTTAAGTTACATTTTTTATAGTTGAATTATTATTATTATTTTGTGCCATGGTCGGTTGTAGCACCTTGGTCCATACTGAATATCTCAAGAACTTTTGGATGGATTGTCATGAAATTTGGTATTCATAATCCCCTCAGGATGGATTGTAATCACTCGGTGTTGGGTCCCCTGACTTTTCATTTACATTACCAGCAGTACCAGGACCAAATTTCAGTTTGTCCTGTACAGTGTTTTAGGACCAATTTCCAGCACAACTACTTTGTGTCTAGTTTAACATTTTGGCACACTAACATGCTGAACCAGGGCTGCGTTTCATTGGTCGTTCAACATGCCCTCAGGGGAATCCCCGCCGCCATCATAAGTGTCCTTCCGAGGGCTGAGGGTAAGTGAACGAGGGGAAGTGGAGCTACTAATGAAACGCAGCCTAAGGCGGTAAACATAACCTGCTGAAAATTGTGATGCACGATGAAGAGAACACCGGATGTCACCATGACTCACACGCCGACAGTATTATTTTGAAAGTCCTAACCGGATGTTGTGCTTGTTGGCGCTGACTGTAGCTTTACCACTGGGCTGTGCTGAAGTGTGACTGGACCGCAACAAGTCAAGTGTCTGCAGGCAGCTGCAGGATGGCCGGGAGCTTCTGCAAAGGACGCTTCTTCTCCTTATTCGACTACAAAACGGAAAAATATATTGTAGCCAAAAATAAGAAAGTTGGGGTTTTGTACAGACTTTTTCAGTTATTTGTCTTCGGATACATTATAGGGTAAGTGAACTAGGCTACTAGGATTTTTATTCTACTTCATTCCATATAATCTTAATATTAATATAGAAGTTTTTATGTCTGTGATGTTGATCAAAATATTGGTTATATATTATATATATATATATATATTAAAAAAATAAAGTGATATCCAGCAGCTTACAGACACGTAGCCTATTGGTGGTTGGTTAATGGCCACATTATTCAGTTACAGAACAGATTGGCCATGATGGTCTTATAGTTGGTTTATGGTTTATGGTTTATGGTTTATCAAGTGAATGGGCTGAATGTTTGTGCTACAGTAAAGCAAGTGACAAGACAGGTTTGTTTGTTTTTACTTTTTTATTGGCAGAAAATACAAATAATAAAAGCTATATAACTAATTCTATTTTGTGTCACCTTTGTAGAACAGTCACAACGTGCTTTAGTAATATTTTAGACATAAAATACAGTTGATGTAAGAGTAAAAAACTAACAAAAAAAAAAAAAACAGTTCTGTGGTGTAAGCAACAAATCACATCTACTGCTACAAGTTTTTGTGTAGGTTACTTACTATTTCAAGTGGCATCTGCTACAGAGAGAAAGTGAAAGGTAGATGAAAAGGTGGGAAAATCTGTGTGGCAACGAAAGAACAGAAAAACTGCAGGTGTTTGCAGTGTTGTGGTTGCAGGAAGGCACAGGTCTGAAGAGGGCAGAGATGACATTGCTCTCAGCTCGTTTTCTTGGAAACCCGTTGCTTCATGTGAAGAGCATGCTTGGCCGCACATAAGCGAGGTAAAAGGAGAAAGCATTCTCCTCTGATTGAAGGGTGTTCACACTCACCCAGAGCCGGACCTAGCCCTCCTAGGAAAGCTTGTCCTTCTTCTACCCAGTGCTGGAAATTGAGCAATTAGATAAAAACAGATAAAGAAATATAAATATATAAATATGGATGAGGCACAATTAAGTAATTAATGTGAAGAATGGGAGAGTTGATGAATTTTTGCTTTCATCCACAGGTGGGTTTTCATAAGCAAGAAAGGCTACCAGGAAACAGACGAAGCCATCCAGAGTTCTGTCATAACAAAACTAAAAGGAGTCTCAATAACCAACACTACTGAGTCAGGTCTGCTGGTGTGGGGACCGGAGGACTACGTTATCCCACCACAGGTGAAACCATTTATTTTACAGATTTTAGGAAGGGAACCAGTTCCAGTTGAGAACCAGTTCAACATAAGTTTCACACACCTGAGGCACACGCATACCTTTTTTCTACTCTTGTTTCCACACTGTTTTCAGACTCCGTGACAATAAAACAGTTGTGTTGATGCTGAAAACCTGTATATGCATACTTTTTTCCCACACACAGAAAACTGATCAGTAAGGGAATTGACAAAGAATGGGACCAATAAGCAGAAATGATAATGGCATTGGTATCAGTTTACTAGGGATGAGGAAGCAGGTGAACCAGGACTGACTGAGTTAAAGGAATAATTTGACATTTTGGGAAATACATATTTATCACCTTCTTGCCAAGAGCTAGATGAGAATATTGACATCACACTAAACTCTTTACAGTAAATAAAAAGCTACAGCCAACAGCTAGTTATCTTAGCTTAGCATAAAGACTGGAAACAGGTTTACGGTGTATCTACAGCAAAAACCTGAATAGGGAAGCAGGTCAAACACAGGTAGTGGAATAGCTAGAGCACTATATGGCAACTAAGATAATGTGGCAAACGGTGTTGGGAAAGTGGCTAGTACAGTATGACAGGGACAGGTCTGCAGGAAGGAACAGGGTGAGGTGATCATCATTATGGGATGATGTCAATATAAAGACCAATTTACAGAGTTTTCTTTCCTACCAACAGGGTGAAGCTGTTCTGTTTGTTGTAACCAATTTCTTTGAGACGCCAAACCAGAAGTTGGGATACTGTGCTGAGGTAAGAGCAGTTTGTAGAACTAATTGAAATACTAAATCATGGACTGTATTTAGTTTTTTCCCTATCTTTATTCTAAAGTGTGGCACGACTCAAACATACAGGAGGCAATAGATGACTGAGGTTAGGAAAGAGCTACTGGAGTTTAATAAAAAACAGATATCAGCTATAACATTATGAACACTGACAGTGACTAACACTGATTATCTGTAAAAATGGGAGGGAGGAAAAGTGGTGACCCGGAGACAGGTTTAATGGGCGGCCAAGGCTCAGTGATGCACGTGGGGATTGCCCAGGGTGCCTAGGTGGTCATAATGTTATGGCTGATCGGTGTATAGTCCCTGTCTTGATTTCTGTAGCAAGACAACAAATGGCTCATATATGGTGGCACGGTCAGCACAGCCAGGAGAGAACCAATCTGCCTTTTCTTCACAGCGCCTAGTCATAGCAAAATACTTTTAACAAAGGATGACACCTCCCTCTTCTTTCCACGAGTGTGTGTGTGTGTGTGTGTGTGTGTGTGTGTGTGTGTGTGGGGTGTGTGTGTGTGTCAATTATACTGTTCATCATTTCTGTCAACTATATCTTTAGCTACAAATTTCCAGAGGTTTCCTGGTATGTAAACACAGCTTCACTTGGTCTCCTGCCTCACTGCGATGGCCAAGAAGAACACTAAGCCCATACAAGCATTACACAACCATAAAACACTGCTTCTTGTATACAATCTGGCTCTCACCAATTGCAGTGCCCCTGCATCTGAAAGGCTACCAAGGCCTTTCGCTGTCATGTATCAGGTTCCAGCCAGGCACAGTCATGTTCCACTAAAACAAAGTTTTAAGATGAATTTCTCATCCTTTATGAAAAGGGCACAGACGTGTGTCCATAAATAATCCCTAACTATAGTGCTGCTCTTAGAAAACTCACAGGACTCAAATACAGTGTAAACTTGAACTTGTCTAACTGTAGCTATGGTGGTATACTCTGTGAATATTGGGATTTTACCCATTTTCACAATATTTCACTTTCAACTCATTCAAAAGAAATTAAAAAGAAGTTATGTATGCTAAAAATAAATATACTCATGGTAAATCAAACATTTGAAAGTCAAGTTTCTGTGCCAGTAAGTCAAAATTATGAGACTAAATCATTATATACTAGGTCAAAATGAGAAGCTAGTGAGTCACAATTATGCAATACTAAATCAAAATTATTAAATGCTAAATCAAAATTATAACCTAGTACATTAACATTATGAACAACTTATTCAAAATTATGAGGTAGTAAGTCAGAATTATGAAACAAAGTAAAAAGAATAAAATACTATGTCAAAATAATGAAATAATAAATTATGTATAAATGGCAAGATACTTTGAATTTCCTAAACTATCTCACAATTGTTGCGTAGTATTTCATAATTTTAAGGTTTTAGTTTTAAATGTTGCATTACTGTGAGTATTTTAATTTGTTTAATACTTAACTTTTCAATGCAACAGGTCTTAAAGGTCCAGTGTGTAAGATTTAGGAGATTTATTTACAGAAATGGAATAAAATTGTCATAGGTTTGTTTTCATTAGTGTATAAAAAATGAGTTGTTTTTATCTGCAGATGCTGTGGGTCGCCTTCTACAGCGTCTGCCATGTTGAACGGCTATGTTTCTACAGTAGCCCAGAACAGATGAACCAAACACTGGCTCTAGATAGATTTTTTAACATTTGGCAACCAATGTAGTTTCTCCTTTTTGCTTAGAAAGGGGAGGGTGAAACGGGTTGTAATCTGCAACTACACTGTTAGACACCCCTAAATTCATCACACTGGACCTTTAAGACCATAATTCATCACATGTCCTTCCTGAATCAAACAGCTGCTGAATCAAATAACTGCTTTTTCATCCAGGATGGTTTGTTTGTGTGAAAATGGTCTGTTATGGTTAAATGTTTCTTGAACCTTTTTTCCCATTTGTTCACAGAGCCCCAAAGTGCTGGATGGCCACTGCCGAGATGACAAGGACTGTAAAAAAGGAAAGATGGTAGTGGCTGGTCACGGTAAGAAAATACATTTCCATTGAGTTGGTCGACTCAGTGGCTTCCGAAATATGATGTGGGTCTAAATTCAACAAGGTTATATTCTCCCTCAGTGACATTTTATTATACCTCCACGTCGCTGATAGCTGTAGCCGGAGGCATGATGTTTTCTGGTTGTCTGTCCATCCGTCTGTCCCATTCTTGTGAACACAATATTTGAGGAATGCACTGAGTCTTCAAATCTCAAGGATGAACTGATTCGAATTTGGTGGTCAAAGGTCAAGGTCACTGTGACATGAGGTTTATTTGACGTTTTTTGGCCATAACTCAAGAACTGATGACCATATGTGAATTGGTGACACTAATTCAAAGGTTATTGTGACCTCAAAATATGTGTTTAGCCAAAACTAAAGAATCAAGTGGTTGATCCCAGAATGAGTGAACAGTAACTAGAACAGTACAGGCTTTAATCTTAACATCTTGTCTATTCTGACTTTCATTTCCTGCCTCATTTTGAATGTCGAATGTACCATCTAAATGCCAGAGAAAACAAAAGCACCACATTTAGTATAACTGTACTCTTTGAATAGTAATCAAGTACATGAGTATATTCACTGTAATCAAACATAAGTATGATAAATATAGTGACAACTTCCATTTAGCCAAAATACACTTATATATTTTATGAAATCCCTTCCAAGTATGCATTACATATATTATATGAGTTTGGACAGACGTGGATGTAAACTGCAACTTGACTGGTTGACGGGGACACACAACCGCAGGGCGGGCACTCTAGTATTCCAAATAAATTGTCAAGTAAGTTGAGATCCCTGATCCCCTAAAACCGCTGTGGAAAGCAAAGGACTTTCCATCAAGTAACAGACAAAGATAACAACGGAGCATCAGGGACTCTCCATCTGAATAACTATAGAGTTAGATTTGTGTCTTTATTACCTGCGAGAAAATAAATGATCTGAGAGAAAAAAAAATGTTTGAGAGAAAAAGTTATCACACTGATAGCAAAAAATAATAATATTTGAGACTAAAGAAGTTTTGAGAGAAAGTATTTTCTCATAGAACATAAAAAATATAAATTTTAAATTTTAAAAATTATGTCTGAGAAAATAAATCTCTCTCAAAATACTTTTTTTGACGCTCAAATATATATATTTTTGCTATCAGTGTGAAAACATTTTCTCTAAAAAAAAATGCGTTTCTCTCAAACGTTTTTCTTCTCTCTCTCAAAACCTAAGTCTTCGCTCTCGATGCTCTCGTGTCAGGATTTTGCTCTCTCATGTGAAAATAATGTCATGGGCGGGGCCACGTTCCTATTGGCCAGTCGGGTGAGAATCGTCTTGGGAGTCGAACTGAATCAGTACACCATTGTCGATTCACCGGCATAGATGACACACACAACTCGATGGGTAGCTAGCTGAGCAAGCTGGTAATCAAAATCATTCCCATCATAGGAACAACTGTGTAGCCCTAACAGGGTAGAGAGTAACAGATCAGAGGTATTAAAGGATGTTTAACTGGTTAGTAATGTGGAGTTCAGCTCAGCTAACATCACTGAACATTAAACATTAAATAGGCTATCCTAAATGTAAGCTAGTTTGCCATTACTGATGTGTTTGTCAGATTGTCATGGACAAAGAATAGCACTCATATTCATGAATGTGTATTATATTATTAGCATGCTAATCGCTAGTAAAGCTAATCGCTAATTAGGGTAGAAACTAGCTCACTACTCACTAAATAAGGAGTGAAACTATCTAAATCAACATATTCTTTTGGCATTTGATTTAAAAATAGTATAAACCAGGTGAGTTTGCAAGTTTACCTAGCATGTGGCTAATTAAAAAAAAAACAATTTTATTTAATATCAGAAACATAGTTAATCTTTATTAGTGGATGTGAACAATCAGTTTTTGAATCAGTTTATGCTGTATGCTGGCCCTTGCTAAATCTTGCAATAAAAATAACCATTGAAGTTAAAGAATAAATTGTGAACATTGGATTTATGATATTTCATCAGGCAGTAATATTAGGTAGTGTGTTCATCAACTTAACGGTTCTAACAGGTTATTCTAGCCGAAGAAATTAAACAGACCCTTGGGGTCTAATTAAGTAGAAAAGAAGAACCAAGAAGAAAAAGAAAAAACAACCTTACAATCATGGCCAACATCATATGCGAAGCCCTGATGACCATTGGCCTATTAGGCTACGTGATCACCCGGACCACGGCGCTGCAAGAAAGAGGCAGAAGGTGTCTGCTGATCAAACTCAGCGTCATTATTCTCTGGGGCCTAGAGTGGAGTTGGATCGCAGTCCTGTACTGCAAAATATAAATGTTAATGTGATCGAATAGCACTAGTGGTTCAAATAATGTTAAGGACTGTTCTGCTCATGTGGTAAATATCACTGAATAACAGATTATGTATAATCCATATCTTCCAACAGAAGTTCACATGTAGTGTCTTTTCACATGTGATAAGGTAAATGACTTCAGGCTATGTTTTCTGCTTTCTTAAGGAGGTATGAGTGGCAGATGCTTAAGAAAAGATGAAAACTCCACTGGTACCTGTGAAATCTATGGCTGGTGTCCCATTGAAAAAACAAACAGACCACAGTAAGTAGAAACGCAATCACATGAAAGCTCTTGGAGGCATAAAAAAAGTGAAATTATTGTTTGTTCTTCCCTATTCTGATAAATTCGATTACCCTTAAGCGCGCGCACACACACACACACACACACACACACACACACACACACAACACACACACACACACACACACACACACACACACACAGGTGAGGACTGTATTGCCATCCATCTGTATGCTGTGCAGTACAGTACTTAGAATAACTAAAGTGAAAGTGTGTTTTCTGGTCTCCGGTGCAAACAGAAAGAATGAATGATGCAATATTCACTGGGAGTGAGGCAAACATTCAGAGCAAGGTGCCACTAGATACAAAAACAGGATGCATAGTGCAATGTGAACACCTATGCAAGGGTAGAAAAATGTGTGTGTAAAATGTGTAAGGTGAAGAAATGCAGTAGCACCAGTAAAAGCAGTTTTCCTGAGGATATTATAGTAAGGTATGAGTCAGTCCAGTAAGGTGCGGTTGGGTATGAAATTAGCAAGTGAAGTGTGTGTGTGTGTGTGTGTGTGTGTGTGTGTGTGTGTGTGTGTGTGTTTTACAGGAGGCCTCTGCTGACTAACGCTGAAAACTTCACCATCTACATCAAGAATTTCATCAAATTTCCTAAATTCGGATTTTCAAAGTAAGTCCCCTTTGTCTCCACACATTCTCTGCATGTACTGCTTGTTAACTGGAAACAGCTGTGAGCTGTGAGCAGTGCACAGTCTGTACTTCTGTGTGTTTCTTCTGTGAGGTCCAACGTCCTTCAAACGACTGATGAATCCTATTTGAGGAAGTGCAGATACAATGAAGAGCTCCACCCCTACTGCCCCATCTTCCGACTTGGAGACATCACCAGGCGAGCTGGATTCAAGTTCCAGGACATGGACACATTTGTTAGTATTATGCTTTTCAACTCAGATTTTATTTGGTGTTCCTTTTTTTGTCAGAACAACAACATATATATATATATTATATCTACATCACAACAGTTGAAAAGCAGAGAGAGAACATTTTATTATGTTTGAATTTTAAGGCATACAAAAAAAAAATAGAAAAATGGGTCTGGGACTAATGTGACTAAACAAACTCATTTTTAAGAGAATAATACTGAAAAGTAGTGTTTCCTAATAATGTACAGAGATCTGCTTAATTGTGAATATCTTGTGATCTTAAACAACATATTGATTTTTACAAGCGATGTACAATCCGACCCAGTGGTGCACATATTGACCTTATTAAGGGGATTGAGTATTGGCAATGATGTGTCATTGTAATAATTCAGTGTTTCTGGTATCGTTTGCAATAACTCTGTTACTGAGGGTGAGGTATACAGATTTTAAGCACTGGTGCTGGCTCAGTACTCGTATCAGCCTGAGTTGAGGTATCGGCAGTGGGAAGAAAATAGTTAGATCAGTGAATCCCTAATGTTTACGTGCTAGTTGTCATGCTCATTTGTCATTATTTAGGAACATTTCAACCAAAACCATTTCTATATGTAGTGGTCAAATAGAAAAGACAAAGACTATTTAGCATGATTTAGAAGCCACATATGATTGAATCTGTTTTCCTAGGGCGGCTCCATTGGCATTATGATAGAGTGGGATTGTGATCTTGACAAAGGCGACTGCCATCCACGGTACTACTTTACCCGCCTGGACATCAGTGGCTGCAACAAGACCCTCACAACAGGGTTTAACTTCAGGTGAGAGTCATTACAGACACTGTAATTACGCTGTCATTCCTATTTTCAACAATGTAGTTATTTATATTCACAATTACAAATATCTGATTTTACAGAAGAAAATGATCAAAAAGCCTACCTTGTCATGAACTACTTAAGGATTAATTTTTTTTTGTATTATCATGCCTCTGTATTTACCTTTTTTAATTCTCCAACAGACACACTCGGTATTTTAAAAATGCTGCTGGTGAGAGCTATAGATCTCTATTCAAAGTCTATGGTGTCCGATTTAACATCATGGTGTATGGAAAGGTATGGAAAATGTGTTTTACAAAGTGAATGCATGGAATACTATCCACTCTGCCAAAGAATGATAAAGTGACGTGATTTAAAGCTCCAGTGTGTCACATGTATGAGGATCTATTGGCAGAAATGGAATTTAATATCCATAGGAATGTTTTCATTAGTGTATGATCCTCTGAAAAGTTGTTGTGTTTTTCGTTACCTTAGAGTGAGTATTTTAGGGAGCAGGTCCTCTTTTACGCAGGCAACCATGTTGAATTTCCATGTTTGTACAGTAGCCCTACGCTCAAACCAAACACTGGCTCTAGATTGCAGTTTCTCACACGCTTGGAAGGCTGAGCTGTATTCAGAAGGTTGCAATTTGTAACTACACTGTGTTGGATGTTTTAAACAACATTTCTTCTATTTGTGCTGTTATTCAAAGGCAGGGGCGTTCAGCATCGTCTCAACAGCCATCAGTTTAGCTGGAGGACTGGCTTTGTTGGGTGCTGTAAGTACCATTCATCATTTTATTAAAATGTTTTTAAAGAACATGATTTTGTTTAACTTAACTTTTTCCAGCTGTGAATGTCACATCACTGAATAAGACTTCATTTAACAGGGAGCTTTCTTCTGTGACCTGGTCCTTCTCTACCTGATAAAGAAGGGCGAAGCTTATCGAGAGAGGAAGTTTGAAGGATCCAGGTAGTTTTCTTTGTCTTTTTATACAGCATCACTTCAGCAGTGCTTCATTACGTTTTTTTAAATGCAAAATTTGTAAGGATATTGTGCTTTATGTGTTTTCAGTGCATACGTGCACCAATTTGTGTGTTATGATATGGGTAGTCTGTTACTTCAGGATATTGAAGTCTAACCAAGCCTGATTCTCAGGTTATCATGGTTGACGTTAATGATGTGGAAGACAGAGACCTTAAGACGCCTCCATTTTAATCGTGTTATAGCATTCTGATAACTAATCAGCACAAAAGATTTGAGTTGTGTGTCACACATTGTATAATATAGCTGATATGAAATGTTATGATTAGCTGATGAATATTTGTTTTGAACACATACGTGCACATACTCACATAAAGTTGTCACTATCATATTGGAAAGTGATTAACTCTGTTTTCTTTTGGTGTTGCAGTTGTGTAGCCGGTGAAAGATACACTAATAGCAGTTTTCTGGGATAAGGCTATGTTTTATACAGTATTATTTCCAGAGAAAAGGCTTGCATCTATAGTTATATATTTCACTTCTGCATAATATGTAGTTTAACAAATGTAGAATTTTAACAAATCTTAAGCTGTTCTTGGTCGTTCTGACACATGGTTTATCTGCAAAACATATCTAATTTTCTTACATATTTGCCACCACAGTCTGAATCTGAACCAAACAAATAAACAGAAATCAACACATGAAGACAACTGTGTGGAAGATGGAGAGGAGAGGGAGGAGTAGCAGTAACATGTCCTTGATGGTTAAAGATAAATATAATATAAAAAGGATATATCTCAGCAGTACAGTATAACTTATGCTGTACTGGTTTGGAGCTCCTGTAGGATGAGCCGTCATCTTGGAAAAAAAAGTCTGTGGTTGATACTTGATACTGACTATTTGTCAGTTATAAGATGCTTCTATATTCTGCCTTTGTAACAACTACATTTTTTTTGTAACTTAAAAACAATAGTTCAAAAGAATCATGAAGAGATATTCCATTGACTTTATACCAGGTTTAACCATAAAATGATTGTGTTTTAGCAACATTGCAACATGCAGACCACTTTTTACGGAGCCCCTAAAGGGACATGGGAAAAATAAAATAAAATGTAACGTTTCTGTGCTCATGAGATACTATCTCGAGATACAGGCACAGCCTTAAGCCTGATAGTCATTTGTCCTCCTTTTGAGAAAATAACAAAAAAGGTCCGCCTTTTGACACACTACCTTGTTAGTTTAATACTTATTGGCTAAAAATGTGTGTCAAAATAAGTAATTTCATTGGTTACATTTTCGTGTTGCAACCTATCAACACATGGCTAATTTTAATATTCAAATGAGCCATGTGTTGATTGCCCACAACACCCTTCATGAGCAGTTGCTACCACCAGGCTGTTAATCAAGCTCTCAGCTACAGAGAACATAATGTCAGTTGTTGGTTGTACAAATATGGACTTTTATTGTTGAATCTCTCCAAATTATAGAATATAATAATTATTAAATACAGTATATTCTCAGCATTATGGTAATTGCGGAGAAACAGCTTATTCACTTCCAGTTTTCAAAATAAAGGTAACCTAAATTTAAAATAAAATATGTTAGATTAAAGTGTTTCATGTGACCATGATGAATAAAAAACATACTTAATATCAAGCATTTTTACTAAACCAACTTGGAGAAATTCAACAATAAAAGTCCATATTTGTACAACCAACAACCGACTTTAGCCAACCTTACAAGAGCTTGATTGACAGCCTTGTTTGTTATTTTCTCAAAAGGAGGACAAATGAGCGTCCAGCTTAAGGCTGCACCTGTATCTGTGAGCACGAGAAAGTAAATTGTGAGCACAAGATACTTTTTTACTTACCCCCCATGTCCCTTTAGGGGCTCTGTAACTTTTACTTTTCATGTTGTTGTATAATGTTTTAATGGACCAGTGTAACATTTAGTGGCATCTAGTGGTAGGATTGCAGATTGCAACCAACTGAAACAAACTCACAAATTCCCTATCTACAGCCAGTGTTTGGTTTGTCCTTTCTAAGCTACTGTAGAAACATAGCGGTTCAACATGTAGACCTCCATGGAAGAGGACAAACTCCCTTTGCAGTTGATTGATTATACAATAATGAAAACACACCTATGAATATTATATTCCATTTCTGGGAATAGATCCTCCTAAATGTTACACACTGAACCTTTAACTGTTTTTTTAACAGGTTTGTTTGTTTTTTTTATCTTTTTTTTGTATTTAATGACTTTTGTGTTGTTGTTTGTTTTAAATGTATGTGAAGCAATATTCATAATTAGCAAGATATTGGCGTCACCCAGATAGCTCACCTCGTAGAGCTGGCGCCCCATGTACCAAAAAGATACATGAATTCTGATCATATTATTTTGACCACGCCCTTTTCCCTTCTTGATTTGGTTCGTGGTCAGATTTGAAGAAGTGTCTGCATTAAAAAAACAAGTTTATTTTTAAGGAACCAACTTTCTTTATGGTCATTACGGTGTACTGCTTTAGGGTTGTAATTCTGATTGCTGATTGGATAAAAGGACACTTTTATAGGTCACATTTGGATGCTTTACCTTAAAGATGAAACAGGAACTCTGATACACTGACGATTGGGAGGTTTATTTTGACAGCACTATCTGCTTTGATACTGTATATATTGAATTTAAACAACATTGTTTAGAATGCCTACACGGAGACCTCTCAGTGTTTATGTCACGTATCTCTGACGTGGTTCTCTGCCTTCCTCTGAGAGGAAGACTCATTCATGATGACTCTCATTAAACTATCAGAGGCCAAAGGATAACGTGCTAGGCTTCTTAGTCACTCTAGCAGAGTGACTCTAGGGACTTTTCTAAATCAAGACAGATCAAATACGCAGTGAACCAGAGTACCTGGACAAACACACACAAACACACTTACACACACAAAGGGGAGAACATGCAAACTCTCCACAGAAACCTATTTTTCTTAGTAATTGCATTGTTTACTGCTTATTTGTAATGACTAAGAATTCCTATCAATGGAATATACCTCATACATGAATCCCGCAAAATGTGCCAGTTTTCCTCCAACATCAGATGTTTTGTTGTGTATATTTTGTTGTAAATTTTCAAATAAACATTTTACTACAGAACTTGTGGTGTACTGTTTGGATCACGACTTATTGTAGTACAGCAACAGTAAAACACAACCTCATACAGTACATGTAATTATGTGTCAGGCTGCCTCCACATGATCAGTGGCGGAATTGTTCTGTGACAGCTTGTTTACTGGCTTTCCTTCAGCACTTTTACAGTCTTTGTTTATAACTTGTATAAATGATGCAGTATGATGATGGAGTGGTGTTGAGCTAAACTCACAGCTGTGACACTGTGCCAGCACCAAGTGCAGCCACTGATGGCCTTAATACGTGATAAAGTGCAAGTATTAGGGCCACCAGTTGCCATCAGTGGGTTTAATAAAAAATGTTCCTGGAAATTATCTGTACAAACAGTCAAATGTGGTCTTTGTTAAAGGAAGAGGGGGGAATTTCACCAAGTAAACATTAATCTATTATCTTCCCAGCACTGTAGCACTGTAACCTTCCTCAACCTATTTTTTAAACCTATACCCAGCTTTAGTATAATTCAGATCAGTGAGATAACGGTAGGAAAGAGACACTACCTCTGGCTGTAGTGTAATTAAGAGTATTGCTCTGCAGTGCCCTCTCAGCTAATGTGACTTGGTAACTTTTGGTGGGACATGGCAATGTCAGTGAGTCGCCCAAATCCAGTGGAGGTGAATGTAATTTGTTGCTTAGAGCATTGTAAAATGACATTAACAGTTACTCCACAGACCTTACTGTTAGCAGCTTTTATTGGAATAAATTTCTACTGAAGAAATATTTCCAGTTGGCATTATGTTCCAGAGTAACAGGACATTATTTCTTGTAGAGATTTGTTGTCGCATTTTGTAAGTGCATTTTCCAACACAGTCAAATGACTCACAGCTGCAGCTGCTTGGAGACTCATCAACCCTCGCAAACAACTTTAAACAATAAAAGCAAAGATAGAAACAAAGGCAGCTTATAGGGCAGGAAAAGCACAACATCTTAAACTCAGTATCAGAATCAGAAATACAGATCTCTGGGGGAAATTTGCTCGCTACAGTTGTTCCACTCACACAACGTTAAAGAATAGTACTTATATACATTATCTAACACAATATATAGAATAGAAATGAACGTATAGGTATATTCATATAGTAAAAATAAAAATGGAAATAGAGTTAGAATGTTTTAGAATGGAAAATATTTGTGATTTGTTGTAAATGGATCAAAACATACAAACAGACTACCTCGCACAGTCTCACATGGATGTTCCTGTTTCTTCATATAACAATTGTTTTCTCTCACTTTTTCACTCATCACTGGCGTCACTGAAAACAGGTTGAATTGAGTAATACATTCTCATGCACTCTATTGCATTTCTCCATTGTTGCCTACAGATGTCACTAAAGGGCAACTTCATTTCAGAGCTCGGGGAGTCTTCACAGGCTGTTTAAAGCTTCACTTCAAATCACCAGAAGGGCTCTTGGGGCATAGAGTATATTAATATTTAGATAATAAGAGTATGGTGTAATTTGCCATATCTGACCCTCACTGAATGAAATTAACTGAATATAACATGTTCACATTTCCTAGTTAAGCTTTACAACATGGTCATGAACTTATTATTAAGTTAAGAGTTTTACATTTTATATTGTTATTTCAGTGCTGCACACCATAACTGTAACCCACCATCTTCATCTTATTCTCATTTTATTTTAGTGGGTAATGTTAAGGTTTTATAATTCCTGCTTTTAATAGATAAAGGCACATTTGATGGATGGAGTTGTTAAAGACATTTGATTTGAGAATGGAGTATGGTATTGACTAATTTATTATATTTATTGTAAACTCTAGATCTGACTGGATATTATCTATGAAGTTAGGCTTTGTATTGTTAGGGACATATCATACTTTGATAATGTGCCATTATATGGGGGGAAATAAAAAGCTAATTATCCATAGCTGTGAAACTACTGGCCCAGATGGTATGTTTTGTATTGTATATATTGTTTTAGTGTATAATGATATTCATTACCTTAGAATGAGCTGTTTTTATCTACAGAGGGAGCGAGCTAGATGACATACCGGTCCTTTAAATATAAACATCACTGCAGATTTTAGTTTGAAAACAGACTTAATTTAAAATGAATTTATGCAGAGTTCTGTTCAGCTCCCCTCCTCTACTGTACCTCGGTCTTATTGTCCTTTCAAACTAATTGTGTTTGAATTTGAAAGTGATGATTGGATGTCTGTTCCTCACAGATACTAAAACTAAAAAGTAGCCAACACACTAATCTGAACTGAAATAAACTGGCCTATTGTAAGTAGGCCTACAGTCTTATATAATCACTGTAGACTCTTTGTTAAACAATGCAGAGAGATTCTTCCTTTTTAGGCTGTCTGAATTAAACAGGCTGGATCTAGCACACTAAACGAGGTCTACCTTCTTAAAAAGCCTTTAAAATGGTGTAATATTATTTGATACAATCTGTGATGAATAGATACAGATAGCACAGACCAGCAAATCTAAGAAATGAAATGGTTAAAAAACGGCCTCATTAATAATCCACAGGAGAGGGTTAAAAGCAACCTTAGCTGGTGTTCCTGCAACGCAACACCTTGCTCATAAACAAAAGCCATGAAGCAGATTAAATAACTCTTTGTTCACTTTTTGTTTCGTCTGTTCTGTGAGACAATAGTGCTGAAAATAAAGTTACTGGCACATCATGTACAAGGAAGTTCACGACTCTTGTTTGGTATGTGGTGTGTGCCAGTATAAAAGTGCTAGTGCGAGAGGTTTGTCCTCATACCAACCACCAACATGAAGGTCCTGCTTCTTACAGTCCTGCTGCTGCTGCTGTGTAGCACTCAAGGTGAGGGAACTTTGGTTTAGATTAGATTTTTGGATTCTTTTTTACCAACGCAAAGGTTGAAATGAAGACAAATATACTTATAATACTATACATACTAAAATGGAAGCATTTGATTGGATCACAAATGTGTTACACCTGTGGAGTGTTCCTGGGTAATATTGTAGCACGTGAACATTTTAATTTTAACGGATTTTTTCCTGTCATCAGTGCTCACACTCAGGTGCTACACCTGTGAAAGTGACAACAACGACCTCTGTAAGACGGAGACAGATTGCCCGGACACAGCTCAGTACTGCAAGACTGTTATGGGCGGTATGTAGGACTTGTTCTACAGGATTCACTTTGTTTTCTCTTACTTTCAGGTTTTAATTTGTGTGTTTAAACCTACTACAAGGAGCTTTTAACTGGTCAGGAAACAGTATCAGTTTAATTATTATGCCGCTCCATGACCTTTAAGCACACAAGATTATCAGTAAGAAGGCTATTTCTATATAGTGATTCTTATCGCCTGCCACCTGATCTGGTTTGGTCAGATTCCTCTTGAAATAACTGGTATCACTATTGGAAACATTACTACTCTACAGGGGCCACCAGAATGAACAAAATATATAATTTCCTTCTTGCTGCTTTGAATATTTGGGAAAAAGTCATATTACACATTACAGGGATGAAGGAATGGTTCAGTCATTGCATATTGTTTTTCAGGAGGTGACATTAAGTCTCGAACTTGTGAGGAGTTTTGCGCTGAGGACCTTTTCACAACCTGCTGCCAACAGGACCTTTGCTAGACCTGAGGCGTCACTCAGCGCTCACTGTCGCTTTCTGTTTAACTACAACAGTGTGAAGAAAATGAATCACTTGAGTCTGAACGTGATGGAAGATGACTTTTTTTTATTATTTTAATGAAACTATCCTGTCTTTGATTTGTTTTTATTAAAAGTTTCACTTAAATCTACAAATGTTGAATTGCTTGTACTGATTCATTCTGTGCAACACGCTGGTAGTCACAGCCATGATATTTTTAATGAACAAGTGCCCGAAGCAGGGCAACCACACACACACACACACACACACACACACACACACACACACACACACACACACGCACACATGCACGCAAACACACACTTAATCCTGCCTGATGTCACTTAGTGGGTCACTGCAACCTACTGCTATGTGGGTCGCTGTCTGTCTCTGCTGCAATGTAACACTGGATCATCATCTGTTTCAAAATTTAAAACAAGAATAAATCTTTGAATTGATCTCATGAATATGTTTGAGCTGTCTTTTGTTACAGGTGAGGCATGCCTCTAGTTCCTGTTTTTTGACATTGTAATTCTGATTGGTGTGTTAACAGTGAATTAAAAGATTAATTAATGGACCATCAGTTTAATGGGTATGCGATCAAGCTGGAGCTCAGTTACATAAACGTTTATTTATCTAACTTTATCTATGCATTTATGTATTTATTTGCATCTGACAACCAGTTTGATTTAAAAAATTGCTTGTTTTTATGAGAAGAGGTACTGTTCTGCTTTCAGAGAGGCTGAGCAAATACATGAGTCTGAATAATGTTTTCTCTAACAGGAATCCATCTTATTTTGTTACACATCAGTTAATGTATGAAGTAACTGTGTAAACAGCCTAAATCAGCACGAGTCAGGTATTAAGTAATACTTAAGTATATGATTTGTACCCCTATTATACATTTTTGTATTTCTACATGAAGAATCCTGCCCATGGTGCCTTGCCATACATGTTGCATTTTAGAGAGAAATGCTAAATGCAAACGGTTTGTTTACAAGAAGCTCCTGTGTCTTTACACTGGCTAAACAGTCAGTTCCCTACTGCAGATATTTATCTACAAAGAATACATTGAAATGGTTAATAATTTACAGTAAGCCAATTATCCTGGCCAACACACCCATGTCAGTCATAATTTGTAGCATTTGGAACAGTCAGGCTAAGAATTTGAAGACTAGCACCTATAGACTCATTCAGGTGTGTCAGCCCAAATGAGTCCAAGACGAAGCATGTTATCAATCATCCTAAAGGCTCCGCTTTAACCTGGTTTTGTGTCCATTTGTGTTTCCTAATGAGAAAGAAAGTACACATGCATGTTAACCCACTTGCGCCCACAAATTCCCCATTTAACTTAATGCTGAAGGGATGTTAGCTGTTTAATTTCTCATCCCTCTTTCAACACTGAGCCAGGCAAATTGTTTCTTGAAGACATTAAAGACATGACAATAAAGCACAAACACAAAATTTACCCTCGAGTCATATAGTTAGTTGTCACGCACACACCTGTGGCTGGAGAGCACATCTTGCCTGGCAGCATTCATTCACTCTGCCCTGAGAGTGATTGGCCATGTCACACCCAGTTACTGTCAGGCACACACAGTGCATGTTTTCATTCAGAGGGCAGTTAAATGTTGACTACAGGGAAGTACAGGAGCATACTGAGTAATTGGGTCATTTTAATGTGACTCTTAAACCATGCAAAGCAGGCTGACGTCAGTGGGAAAGTGATTAATTGGGTCATTTAAGCCTGTGATGACTTCTATGGCCCTTAAAGCTCCTTCATACATGTGTTTCCCTGATGCTCAGATAACACAAATGTATAACATTAGAAACAGAATACAACGATGAACTGACTAAGATGAATGAACTGGATTCATTCAAAATACTTGGCAACATCACACATCGTTCCACTTATAGCAAATCACACTGTCAGCATGAAAATATAGGTCATATGTGTTAATCTCGCCAGCTTTTTCTTCTTTACGTTAGAGCAGCTCAGACACCAGAGGTGGATGATTGGTGGATTAAGAGGCCACAACCTTTACACTTAATGTGTCACTAGTTTAATACGCATATATCACACATGGGATTTATCCAAAAGATACACACATAGACCCAGTGACTTCTAGCTCAATGTCTTCAGATAGAAAATAAAATCACTGCATGCAAAACATTTTTTATTGTGTCACTTGGGTGACTTCCATCAAACCAAATATGTATCAACATCCCATCATGTAGAGGAATTATTATGATTTTTGAAGGAGCTAGTATGTTGCAAACAGCCACATTTAGAGCATGAGAAAAAAAACATGCTACACTGATCTGCTGCCCACACAGGAAATTGCTGTGGCTGAGAATGTGAGAATTAGCATGGCCCATACTAAAGGTTCAGTGAGTGGTGGTACAGTTGTCAAATGAAACTACAGTCATTTTCTTAGAAGTGTATTGTTTTTCTTTTTTACACATTATCAAACCTCTTTCTCTCTCTCCCCCAACAAGACTGGTTAGAGGCCGAGATAAATTCTATTTAGAAACCTGAGTTTCTAATTCACTTGTTTGGTATTTGTGAGTATACCCAATGCCTTTATGAAAGTCCCTCTTCAAAATGACCCTGTTCATGTTGTACTTCTGATGATTCTTCAGTCATTTGCAGAATATAACTGTTCAATTATAACTCTGAATGACACATCTCATAAAATATTCAAATGATGCAAGGAGGAAGCCATGCAGACACTCCAACATCAAAGCTTTTCTTAACCTCACAACTGAAAGAATGTTTTCTTATAGATGGTGATGGAGGGAGTGAGTGATTAGTATGCATTAGTGCACATTTACTCCAGTACTGTCCCTGTGGGGTACTTGTACTTTACTTAAGTATTTCCTATTTAGGCTACTTTCTACTTCCACTTATTTACTTATTTACTTATTGTTTTTTTACTCTGCTGGCTTTTGTTTTTACAGACATAGCCACTAATTACGTTTAAGCTTTAAGGTCTTACATAAAATACAAAACATTCAATAAACACACTCTCCTTACAATACACTCCAAAAGCACTGTGTAGTTGATCAAAAATGTTTTTGTAGAAGATCACTGTTTGTTATTCTGTCCCCTTCGATTAATCATCTCAAGACCTCCCAGATTTGATCTCAAGGCATTTGGAGTGAGTCCAACCCCCTGGTTGGAAACCATTGGATTAAACTACCTGTAGTAAAAACAGTATAGTAAATACTACATAAAGTAGTTAAGCCTTGTTCCACCAGCTAAAACAGTAAAATGCTGCATACACATAAATAATTAAAGTATTGACAATATGCAATATGTCAGCCACATTTGTATTTTGTACCTTCGATATATTTTGCTGATAATACTTTAAAAAGCAATATTTTGTAAGTAGGGCATTTACTGGCGTAAGTTAACACAGTTTTCTGGTACTTTAACTTAAGTAAAGGATATCATTAGTGTATGATATAATTTTTAAGTGTAGGCTAAAAAAGCTGGACAAAGCTTGCCTGCAAAAAATAAATAAAAAAACAAGATTCAAAACAAAGACTCATCACGTTGCTCCACCAATGATGGGCTTGTTGTCAAGAGGGAGTTCTGCTTCAGCTGGTAAGGTAATGGTGGTCCATCTATTGGATTAGTGGAGGGATTTTCACTGTGGTATTAATCTGGGAAGACAGCAGGCGGCCTGGGCTGGGCTCACACTGAGCTGTTGTGTCTCTCAGTCTCTGGCTGTCACTCAGCTCTCTGGTTCACCTCCATCAGACGCACTGAAAACGAACAGGACACCCCTCAGCCAACATGAACCTTTTCTGCTTTTCACTGGTAAGAGACACACTTTGATTTCTGCATCATATACCTGACAAGCTGTGTGTGAGAGTAGGAAAGAGAGCTTGTAAGCCATGTGGTGCAAATGAGAGCGTGGCCACATGGAAATATTTGTAAATCAGCACATGCTGTGTAAGTAAGGGGAATGCAAGGTTTTTATCACAGTGTGTCAGCCTCTAAGCTACACATGATCCCAAAAACACTTAACCTGCTGTCTGTTTAATTATTAGAAATATCCTACTGATAATGAGTTGCTCTTTTTGCACAATCCACATCCTAGCTGTCTAAAAATACTACACTCATCTGCTTTATTGGATTTCCTTGCACTAATTGAGTAGAGCATGACACATTTTTGTGTATTTTAATACTGCAGTTTATGTATTAGTTGATGTGTTTGTTTGTGATGAAAGGGAGAAAGTAGAAAGAAAGTACTGATAAGTGAAGCGACGAGGATAAAGACTAGTGTGTGGTGGCACCACTCACACATATGGTCCCTCAGATGCTGCTGCAGCTGTCATGCTTCACGTGGGCACAAGGGCATGAATACAGAAACCTTTCTTTGGACAGATGTTGGGGATGTTGACCATCAGGATTATTAACCAACGTCTTACTATAGTAAACAGAGGCTTGAACTGTGATTGCGCTGATTGTCCTCTCTCTTGGTCCCACATCACGTGTACAATGAGTGGAAATAAATGAAACTCATTTATAAGATATTAAAAAACATTTTATATATACGTAGTTAGATTTAGGTCATCATTTGGCACAATGGCGATACAGATGGAAGTAAATGATACTGTACAGACTAAAGTTTAGAGAGAGAAGTTTTATGAAAACTGTTTCTAGAAGGATAACGAAATTACATGATCCAGGATTCAACTTAATACAACAATTAAAAGCATGAATAAATTTAAATTGTCTTAAAATATCCACAAATAAAATTTTGAGGGAAACTGGAGTGGGCAAGAGTGTAGAAAGGTATAAATGTGAGCATATCTTTGTGATATCTTCAAGTTTTTAAACATTCAGTGAAAATATTCGACTCACATGGACACATTATGTTCAAACCGAAGAGGCTGATCCTATAAATGTATCATTGTGAATCAAAACACCTTCACTCGTTGTCACTAAAAATGGCCGTCCACCCAGTTCATAGATAAGATGTTATCATACAGACATGATGAGATGGATGCAGATAAAAATTGGTTATTTGTTCCTAGAAGGAATTCAAACAAGCTGAACACCCTTTAATCCAAACAGAAATCTGTTCAGAGGAATTTCAATCCTCCTCTACATCCATGGTTGACAAGAAAATTTACAAGAGCTTTGGAGCAGCATTAGCAGAATATCCCTACAGTAAAATAAAATCCTCATAACTCTAGCTTTGTGTCCGTTTACTGGGAAACAAAGACTTATGTGGGCTGTCTCGTACATTTCTTTAGGTTTTCTCAGCTTTAGGCTGTGGAAACAACCATTCCTTAAACATTAAACTGTGTGTGAAGGATTTGTTTTTAAATTTCTAAAATGAGTGTGAGGTTTGACTAAGCAGTCATAGAGCAGGACATTCCCTTACCACTGATAAAAAGTGTGTAACCTACAAAACTTGATATGTACATACACTTTATCACATTAGACTTAATCCAACAGGATAAATCCATTCATGAATTGCTCCTGCTGCCAAATTTCAGCTAACAGCTGTGTGTTTGTCTGTCTGTCCACATGGCATCAGGAGGGTTCTATGGACAGCCTGTATGAGGCGGTGCAGAGCTCCAGTGACGGTCCACCACCGCCGATCCCCAGCCGTTCCTCAAGCCGCTCATGCAGCCGCTCCTGCAGCCGCTCATGCAGCCCAGCAGTTCTGCTGGACGACAACACAAAGTGGCGAGGCTCTGGAAGATCTATTTCTATGGTGAGGGGGGGATGCATAATGTGTGTACAAAATGTCAAAAGTCACACACTTAAGCATGTCCACACGCATGCATGTCGTACAGATTGTGAATGGTGGAGCCATGTGAGCAATCATGAGCAGACTGTATGGGGTCAGGAATTGAGAGCTTTTGGACTCCCACCATGCAGATTGTACCTATCAAACAAACAAAGCTGATTATGAAATGTTGAACAGAACCAGTTGACAGCTGCTGCTGCTGAAGCCAGACCAGTCAGAATGTTTAGTTCAAAATTGTCACGTGAATTAAATGTCACAGATGCCACACCAGTGAATCTTACCATTGAGTCTGCAATAGAAAACAATCATTTTATCAAATCTGTAGAAATTTTTTTTTATTGGAAGGATACATCCCTTGAGATGAAACTTAACACAAATATACAGAGAATACAATACATAAAACAAAACAACACAGATACACTCACACATATACAGCCTAGCCACTCCCACACACACTGCCCCCTCCTTAAAGGGTATGAGCCAAAATACATATAGCAGATATACACATACCCATGCAGAGCTATATACACGTTTAGTATAATTAGAAGCAAGAATAGGTTGTTTGAAGGTAGGAAAATGAATGTGATTTGAATGTGAAATGAAACAAAGATTACTATTTGTGACTTTCAGGAGATGCCTCAGATGCAGGGGATCAACTATAATCAAAAGAAAAGAAGGTGAGCTCACCAGAGAATTAGACACAAACATGCTGTTTGCAGCAAATGTTGGTTTTTAGCTCACAGGTAAATCTATTTTATATTGTGTGACTTTACTAAACATGTAATTCTGCTGTAAACAGAAAATTAAACTGTATTAAACACATTGTGTTTCGCTTCCATGTCTCTACTGTACTGTTTAACCTTCTTTCTGTTTCTTTTGTTGGACTTGCGTGCAAACCGCTGAGAAAATCTGCCATGCAAGTGAAAGGGCTTTCCCATAGAGTAATAATATGGCTTGAAAGTCTCCCTGTTTATTTTCACTGAGGGTTAATACTGTAAGTCCTTCCTGCAGCAGAGCAGACGGGCTCTTCAGTATTGCTCCCCTCTTCATCCTTATCTTTAGCTCATTTGGCCTGGCCAATACAATTCTATATTTTAAGAAGAGAGATTGACAGCCCATTAGACACAATTGGAAAAAAAAAAAAAGCTTTATACGTACAGTATATACTATTTGGTTTGATTGTTTGTTTTTAGAAATGTTTTTTGAGGAACAGGACCCTGCAGGCTGTTGGGCCAGCAGAAGGCAGATTATGGCTTTGGTCTAGTTGAACTAAGCGGATTCAAGGCCCACCTACTTAGAGTCCCCAGTCGCCCCAACACCTTTACACCCACGGCTTTAGTTTGAAAGAAACGCGACTTTGTGGTCACAGACTGGTCTCTCGGCCTATAGAAAAAGTAGATCATGCATTCACACAGAGTGCCTCTGCACAATAGCAATGTACTTTCTCAAGATGTGGTTTCAAAGGACATCCTTTGATTTAGCTCTATGGTTCTCTATTTTACCAACTGTCTAAAACTGTCTGTCTATAAAAAAAACAATCAAGGGCTAAAACATCTACTAAAACACTAATTAAAAGCAACTGCAATGTAATATCATATTTCTTTCTCAACTGTACTTTCAGAACACATATATCCAAATCAGCATCAGATAATGAAGCACTTGGTGAGTAAAAAACAATTTTCTTTGTGTTTTGTTAAGGCTGGATTAGTTTAAAGACTTGTGTAGGTTCATAGAGATCTGATATTCATTGTGTTCATTATTATTATTATTATTTTTAACTGGTTATGAAACAGTCTCAATTTAATAATGGTGCCTCTTTATGACCTACATAAACAAACAAGACCATCAGGCTGTATTGGCTATTTCTTTATAGTAATACTCTAACCAGTAATGCCTGCCAAAGAGTCGGATTGTCCTCAAAATTAGACGAAACAGGGTGATACAAGTTTTGTCCATAGGGGCTGCCAGAATCAGCACAAAATGAAAGCTTGTTGTAGCTGCTTTAAAGGACCTGTATGCAGAATTTAGTGACATCTAGCTGTGTAGTTACAGATTGCAACTCTTTCACTTCACCCCCCGTTCCAAGCGCGAGGGAGAAACTACGGTGTCCGTGAAACACATTAAAACTGTAGACACCGCTACTTAGGACCAGTGTTTGGTTTGTCCCTTCTGGGCTATAGTAGAAACATGGCGGTTCAACATGGCAAACTCCATGGTAGGCGACCCACGTCACCTGTAGATCTAAAACATAAAGATTCCTACATTCAGGTGATTATACACTAATGAAAATGTTATGCATATCATATTCCTTTTCTGCCAATAGATTATCATAAATGTTACACACTGGACCTTTAAATACTGAACATTATGGGCAATACAATAAAAGCAACAACAGTTCCATTTTGCCAGCCATGCATTCACCTGTATCATGAACTCTCAGGAAGACTACAACAGAATAATTTACCTTTTCGAAAGCTGCTGAGAAAATAGTCTATTATTTAGATTTAAACCACCAATAACCTACAAGACTGCCTGTCTGTGACTCAGAAAACAATTTTATTCAGTCTGACTCTGTGGCCTCTGTTGACTTAAAATCCTCAATGTTTGTGATTTGTCTCCCTTCATGGCAGATAACCCTGGCTGTAATACTGCTGTTTGGCAACCCGCCAAGAGCCGAGAAGATTTAGTCCACATCACCAACAATCACAATGAAGGTAAATGGGAAATAAATAGGTTAAGCTCATCTATATGCCAGCGTTCATTTAGACTCTCAGCATGACGTCTGAAGATGTGGGCTGGGCTTTCCATCCAATTCACCACCATAATTGTATCCCGAACTATTGAGTAATGATACACAGGCCTGCAATGATTGTATACAATGTTAAATACAAAGCAGTGGTAGCTTGGACAAACTTTGACAATAGATTTTTTACACAGAAAGCACTTTATTTTGTCTTTGATTACAGCAAGCAATGGGCACATGACAATCCATATGGGCACATGACTATTGTTTTAAGATATACTTGAACTGTATACCTGTCCTTTAATCCAGAAGCATAGAGAAATACATGAATAAATCCGCTTCCTGAATGACCTCTTGTTTGTTGGAGTGTTTAACCTGATGACATATTCTGTAAATTGTAATATGTTGTGTCCCCATAGAGACGAGGAAGACTAAACACAGAACAGAAACCAAAGAAGGGAAAGGAGCTCATCATTCCGGCACAAAGAAAAAGGAGAAACCACCCTCAAGCCAGGTTAGAATAAAAAGCTTCCCTGCAGTTATTTCAGCCAGCTTCACTTGTTACGAATCTCATGCAAACATGTTGCAGTGATGCAAAACTAATGCAGTGTTACATTTAAACACCAAATATTTTTCATGCTTTTGGAACTTGTTTTTCTATGACATGATGTAGGCAACATAGAAATATAATTAACAGAATCTGTAGCAGCAACCACAAAGAGCTGGTAGGTGGAGGCGCATGAACCTTTTATGCCCCTTATATCTTTGTTATTAATACAGCACTAAATAATATCATTGTACATCACAGATCAGTGTCTAGCCTGATGTTTGAGCAGCATTAAAAAGAACCTGTACTCTACCAGTAGATGTGAGCAAGTGCAGACTCATGGTCACAAACCACACCAGACCATTTTATGTCATCTTAGGAATTTCAAGCTGCCACCTGCTTGTAGTATTCAGAGAGCCTCTGGTGGCCTAAATGGCACAATCATTTAACACAAATGCTGATTGGGTTTTAATACAGTGCAGATGGTCCAAAGAGGGTACTGCTCCCTGTATAATCTCCGGGCCACATGGTAGACAGAGATGTGAAAGCAAGAGGGCTGTCTGTGTGTTTGGGGAGGGGAGGGTTTAGAGGCCTCATGCCAGGTCACACAGTGCCCATTCTGGCTAATGCCCATCATAGTGAGAAGCAAACAAAACAGAGCGTGCCAGTATTGGATCAGCAGCAGCTCTCACCACCTCACAGAGTGCTAAAAGTACCAGTGACCCAAATGGGATTTGGTAGAAGATACTGTGTAAGTTTTTTTTTTTATAAACAACCACCAAAAACACAGCCCTGCTAGTGGCTCTGTGAGGCACAGCAGTGCTTTGGGTTAAATGCTAACATTAGCATGCAAAGGCCCAAAATGTCAATGCTGGCATGCATGTGTAAAGCAGGTATTCTTTATACTGTACTATACCATGTGGTGTGATTTTTATTGGGCTTTGTGGTATAAAGTACTGGACAAATACAAGTTTGAACCTAATGATAGCACTAGATGAAAAGATGAAAATGCCTGTAATGAAATTACATTGGCACTCCATTCAACCTCATAGTGGCAATAACTTGAAAGTCAGAGGTTGCCGTCAAAAGGATTAATCCCCTGGGCGCCATAAAGGTCTGTACAAAAATGAGTGGCAAATGACAAAGGATCAACATGAGCTATGCCTCTAGCAGGGCTAAAACTGAGCTGTGTGATATGATGGACGAGATTAGACTCTTCATAAGGATGTATTAATGTTTTTTTAATGTGTCACATTTTAGAGATTTAGGCATTAAAGTATTCATGTTTTGTGCTGTGCATCTTTCCAGAGTGTCCATGCCAACGGCGCGGCGACAGAGTCTAAACCTGTGAAAAGAAGCCAAAAACCCGGAAAGAAAGCAGCTGGAAAGAGTGGGAAAGAGGGATCAAAGAAAAATCACAGCTCCATAGGTGAGACCGCTTTCCACAACAACAGCAAAATCCCCCCTACTCCCTATCTCAAACTGACCTCTCTTACCTCTCTAACGTCTATATGACTCAGTGATCCAGCATGACTAAACAACTTATAGTAGCAAATGCAGCAATTATCAAAATGTTGTAACTATAGCTCTTAATAATTTTGAATTATACTTCTGCTTTCGAGTGTTGCAACACATTCAGTGTAGGTGTCTGTGATGTCCTAACAGTATAGGTATGCAGAAGGCTGCTTTATAACACACAAACGTCCGCTCAAGCTACAGATTAGAGTTACAAAGGTAAAGGTTGAGACCACAAGAACTCTGACTGGTTTGTTTGTCTGTTTCATCTTACTCTCTTTCCGGTGCTGCTTCAATAAGTGTTTTCTCAATCTAGCAAAGCCATTTTCACTGCCAAATGTCTCTTCACTGTATTTGTTGCCTGGCCTATTGTGAAGTAAATGTTTAAAGAGACTGAACAGACACTTTGTGGAGGTGTTACAACAGTCAGTGGCCAGAATACAGAACTATGAATCATTTTCTGCTGTAATGAACTGTTCTGCTGCAGCAACACCTCAACATGACGCAGAAACCTGATTGCAGTTTAAAAAAAAAGTTTAGATAAGACTTGCCCAGTCTCAGAAAGATGAATGGGAAATGGGTTTTTTTATTTATATTTTCTTCTTTTATTCCTCTCAGTGCACTCCCCGCCATGTGCTGTGAGCCCACCCATGGGACCCCACTATCTGGAAGTGCCATACAGGTCAAATAGGAGGCCATACCTGGGCAAGTCCTCCACCCTCCCCGCTCAGGAGAACACAACGCCAGGCCGATGCTCAGACATGATCTCCCTCCCTGGTGGAGCAACGCCCACCCACCACCAGAGATGGAGCAGCCCAGGTGACAGCAGCCCTGCCTGGGGGACCATCCAGCACACGTGCCGCAGGCCTCTCACAGAATATCGAGTGTACTCCCATGACTTTGCCACACCCCATGGGAAGGAGTGGGAGGGAAGACAGCAGCAAGGGACGGCCCAGGATGGGAGCTTGAAACAGGACTGTAAAACCCAGATTCCCCCAAAGGTGCCGCGATCTGTCACAGATGTGGATCTATCAGAATCAGATGTAAGTTTCTGCCGATGGATATATGTTTTTGAAACCATTAGTTAGTCCTAGAACGAGATCTAATAATGCTCTGGGTCAGTACTGACAGCTTCTGTCTGATGCTTAACTTTTATTGCATCATGCACATTTACCCTTCAGACTTCAGTTTTAAAGTAACCTTAACATTGCTCGCCTTTCTGATGCCTTTGTGTCCCCATGCTATCACAATGTCCTTTAATGGGTCTTTAAACAATACTTTACCACAACATGAATATGTTTTGGTATCATAATTTAACTAAACCCCACAGAACCAGTGGCAGGTCCATGTTATCAGGCCTCCTGAAGGATACATTGTGGGATGCAGCTGGTAATTCTTTTCTAAATGAATCTCAGTCTCTCCTATTTGGATCCTTTCAGTTTCTGTTTAATATGGCAAGTTCAATGTTCACATGTTTAATACCACACAATGGTGCAGATTGACCTTAAAAGTCAGTGTCTTTGTGTGCACTTGACATCTCTCAGCTTAAGACCTCTGCTGATACCCAGTGAGCACGTGCAGTGGCGTCCTGTGTGACACAAAGCTCAACATGACTTGGGAGAAAATAGATGAAAATTGTCCAAGATGAAAAGGATGATCCAGCGTAGAGATTACAAGATCCCTATGGATCTATAGTGTCCTTGGTTCTTAGAGATAAAATGTAATTTCATTGGACATGAAGCCTCTTAAGAGTGGAGCCAGAGGTGGCATAGAAGTTAAGACTTTTTCTTTGTACAAGGCTGATTGCAAACTGTGGGATTAGTCAACGGTTTTGTCGGTAGAATTCCCTTTTCTTCAGCTGACTGATTGAAAGCTCCCGCAATGTAAACACAGTGGCAAATCCCCACATGGCAACATCACAGCAATGACTGGCAGCAATATAGTATCCTATGGAAAGTCAAACTACAGCCTCACACTCTCAGATTCAGAGGGGCCATGTTTTGGAAGAAGGTTACAGGGAGCGATTTGGGGATTTTCAACCCTTATAGATAAACAAAAATCTACTTCCGACCTATCCCATATGACAGTGAAGAGTTTCTAAGGCATAAAATGAAATGTATTTGCTTCCATATTGAGAACAGAGATAAAACGGAAAGTGTTTCAACACAGCAAAGTTTCAGCTGTTCCTCTGTCATACATCAGCACTTCCTCAAAAGTATTCACCCCACATTAAGAAATGAAGGCATGCGAATAATTACTGCAGCATCATTTACCACAACCAAGTTCCTCTTTGCTAACAAATGACACTTTTGAGGAATATCAGACTTTTTTAACATTTAACATGTTGTCTTTCTATTGTATTATATTGAGGTATCATAGCTGTCCAACTCTGAGCAGATCAACCATAGTACACAGTAGCAGATATGACGCGAGCTCATCCTCACCATGATATCTCTTATCTTCTATATAACAGATACCACAATTATAAAACCTACATGCAGCTGTTCCTGGAAGTGGTTCTCATTGTTTTTGTGAGCAGGCCAAAAAATGCACACTTAAGCACTTGTATTTTCCCCTTTGAAAGCGATTCTGCTTCAAGAGACACAATGCCAATTGCCTCACATCCTGTGTGTCGTAAGGAAGTGGGTTAGTCAGTCCTTCAGCTCTGGGCTAGTTAACACTTCACTGTTAGTAGAGCGGGGTAAAGACGAGAGAAAAGCAAGGACTGAAGTTTGACAATAACCTTAAAACAGAAGAAAATGTTACAGAGGACAGCCTCCAATGTATCAGACAAAGTGAAGAGCAGCAAGCCAAAGGTAGGTAAAAATCTAAAGGAAATTTAAAATATTATACTGTGAGTTGGTGAAGCAAGACGTTATTGTCCAATGTGACTTTTGACATAGCCACATTTAAAATGACCAGTGAGTGGAAAAAGAGGGAGACAGCTAAGTTCATATATAACATTGTTTGGATTAACTATTGAAAATTTAGAAATGTTACTTTTAAAAGATGAACACTAAAAGACTAGTTGACATAAGGTGATTTTGCTCACATTTATACAGTAAACTGTATTCTCCAAATTAATCTTCATCATGTAAAACAGACAAACAACGACAATAAAATACAAAACAATATAAAAACACAAAAGCTAAAATCAGGAGGAAGATATAACTTTTAAATGAACCCTTTCAATTCTGCTGCTGTATTTTTGCAGACAGTGGAGCAAAGTGTGGGCTTGGCGGACAACATTTTATTAAATCAATCCCCAGAGGGCTGTCTAGGAGTATGGCGCTCATATTTAACCAGGATTTTCAGGGATTATTCATTTATATAATTATTTTGTGCTCTGCTGTGGAGATGATGGGGAGCTGGAAGAGATTATCATGACTTTTAGTTTTATGAAAAATTGGAGGAAAAAAGGGGGAAGAATTAAAACTGAGCCAGAATAAAGCCACCGTGCATGTCGCCAGTGTCGCGAGGACACAACAGTTTCATTTATGTATTTCGGTGCTCTTGTATGGAGACACATATTCTCTCTGCTGCCACTGAACTACCGCACATGACCACCACTGTAACACATATTTTACAAGCTTTCATTTTGAAACACTCACAGAGCAGAAATAGTTGCTGTATTTAGCCTTTCCTGAATAGACAGTATATAAAGTAGAAATAGACAGCTGCATCCACTGGAAAACCTCTACCCCATTTCATCACTGAGGTCCACTCGGGTCATAGATGGAAGATGCAGCAGATTTTTTTTTAAGGATCTTTAAAACAGCTGGGACAAGGACTCACAAGTACAATGACTTGATGTTATGTAATGCTATCAAACCAGGTGCCACTGGTCTCTATGACATCCTTTGTCTCTGTCTTTCAATCCTCCCCACAGCGCTCTACCAGCTTCGGCAGGTTTGAAGGTCTCAGACATCACTCTTCACTAGCCAAACCAGAGGAAAATGGAACAACTATGGTTTGTTTTCATTTCATTTTTATATTCATTATGATAACAAATGTCATATAGTAGCAAGAATGCTAACAGATAATGACCAATAACATACCAAGCAGTCATTTAAAGTCATCAGACAAAATCATTTACATTTGGAGAGCTAAATATCTGAATATTTCCAAATATTTCCAACCACGGTGCTGCAAGGTGCTTTGTATTTAAAGATATGATGATGGAAAATAAGCTTCATTTTGGGAAAAACCCTTTGCTGCACAGGAAGCGATGAATTTTGCTCTATGTTTATGGAGCAGACGTACAAGTTGTTGGGACAAAAACTAAGGAGAAACATGGGCAAGTTCTAAATCTGCTGTCTTTATTATCACAGTGCTATATGTGCTAAACCACCTTTCTTTACACAGCTAACAGAAGAGTGTGAGAGTCTGGACCCAAACAAATCTGCTTCACTTGGGAAGAAGATGAAGGCAATTTCACTGACCATGCGCAGAAAAATGGGCAAAAAACACGCCAAGTCTTTTTCTGAAGAGACAGTGAGTTCATGGAAAACACAAACACACTCATACACACGTACACACACACACACACACACACACACACACACACACACACACACACACACACACACACACACAGCCTCCAGCTCTTACTTAATTACCATCAGCTACAAGAGTTGATTTTAAACGGTAATTCAAGGGTACAGATTACCGACGATAATAAAAGTGCCAGAAACCAGCCCCAGTTACATCAAAGCTGTGCTGTTTTCCCAGCAGTGTTATCACTTTCATCTCTGATGAACCCACATCCTCAGATATGACGCTGGTGCTGTCAATATACTGGCAAGCTTCGCTCTGACAAAAAGTGTCTTGTTGCAGTTTTGTGATTCACTGTAACACAGATGGAGAGATAGGTTGATACCTTTGACTAGCTGTGTAACTTTCACAGCCTACATCCCTACCTGAAGCTGTCGGTTTTAGTTTCCTTCTTGTCGTTTACTTTCATTTGGACTTGTGTGATGGAGTTTGTACATTTCATCTATGATTATAAGGTTTGTCTGTTTTTTATGATGTCTCAATTAAAATACTATATATTTTCCTCCAAGGGTGATGACACGGACAAAGATCCAGAGGCAGAGACAGAGGCTGGCCCTCCGGCTGAGAAAGACTCTGCAAAAACAAGCAACTCTTTAGAGAGTCTCTACAGTGGACAGAGCTCCTCTAGTAAGCATCTGCACAGAATCAGAACCAGAATCAGAAATACTTTAATAATCCCAGGGGGAAATTACTTTCGTTACATACTCCAGAACATATAATATATTAAGAATATATATAAATATATATATATATATATATATATATATATATATATATATATATATATATATATAAATAAAGGTAAAATGTACATAATGCATACACTTCAAGGCTGGACCAAAGATTACTGAGTTGTTTTGGCCCATACAGTGAATAAATGCTCCATGGGATAGAACTAAATGCACATAAAAAATGTTTGGAAGTCAGCTGATCCATGTGAATGAACCTTTGCACTGTAATCAAAGTGTGTTGTGTTGCGTTTGTGGGTTCAGGTGGTGTGACCAGTGAGTCCAATGGTTCCGGTCAGAGAGACAGTCTGAGGCTGGAGGAGGACTGCCCCTATCAGGGACAGTTCTGTGGCAGAGCTCGTGTCCACACAGACTTTGTTCCCAGCCCGTATGACACAGATTCCCTCAAACTCAAGGTAAGATGGAGCACTGTTTGCGTACTGTGCTTCAGTCTCCACTAAGGCCCTGATGTAAATGAGATAAAAGCTATCTTCATGATTCTTTACACTCACTATAATTATTTTCCCAGGTTGGTGACATTATCAACATCATCAGTAAGCCTCCAATGGGCATCTGGACAGGCATGCTGAACAACAAAGTGGGCAACTTCAAGTTCATCTATGTGGACGTTTTGGTGGAGAAAGAGGAAGAAGAGGAGGCTCCCAAGATCAGACAACAGAAGCTGTGCAAGAGACCTCGACCTAAAACACTGCTGGAGTTACTGGAGCGACTGAATCTCGAGGTGAGAACGAGATCGACTCCCCTGGGGTCACTCACCTGTTACAATCATAACAAGAAAGCGGCTAAAAGGGTGTACAGTTAACTCTTTTGTTTGGCATCTTACATGAGGAGTAGAAACTCCTTTGATGCTGTAAACTTCATGTTATACTCCAGCGAGGTTAAAACATGCATGCTATACTTTCACATCTCAACCTCAAAGGTGTATGTAGGTAAAGAACCTGACATTATCAACTCTTTGTTGTCTCCAGTATGAAACCAGTACCATAACTCTGTAAACACTTTGTACCACACATGATTTGAAACTTGATAAAAGTTGGGTTTTTTTGGCTGTATGTGTTGATGCTAATGAAGATGTTATTGCAGGAGTACGCCTCCGCCTTGCTGCTAAACGGCTACCAGACGGTGGAGGACCTGTTGCACCTGCAGGAGAAACACCTGGTAGAGCTGAATGTCAAAGACCCCGAGCACAGGCGCAAGCTTCTCGCTGCTGCTGAATATCGCTACACAGAAGGTTAGCAACATAACATGACTTAATTATTAAAAAGTAACAACGCTTACTTTTACAGATTACTAATGACTGTTTAATTAAATTATTACATAGGGCCAACTAAAAACCTGATAAAAGTGTAAGTTGTTAAAGCCTGGCTGTGCATACAAGCAGACGTTTTGACTTGTCATAGTAGGAAAAGCACAGGTATAACTAATAACATTAAAGATGGCTCCTTTCTCTTCAAGTGCCCCTGCCCTCGCTGACAGGAGTTATCATTTCACACATAATATTGCTCATAAATTATCTGTATTAGTAGTTTCCTGTAACCAGCAATCACCTGCTAAATAAAACCAGTTTAACTGCGTCATGGTGTCCCCAGTCACCATGTCTCCTGTGCATAACCAGTGTCAATACCCAGTAAAGGCAAAATGTCAAAAAAGAAGACAGTTTCCTTGAAGTTTTGGCACTGAAATGTGCACAAATCTGGTATTGCAGCCACGGTGCACATTCTCAGAGGAAATCAAGTCAGTATTGTAAAAAAGTAATAGTAAAATTATAATAGTAGTAATTATGATTAAATGTGACACTGTGAGAAATTAGCATTCAACAAAGCCCTGTAACCATTGTAACGAGTAATTTTATTTCACTTTCAAGTTCTAAACACCTACAGTGTATGAAAACCGTGTTTCAGAAAAGTACTTTATTTAGCTGAAACAAAGTATACAGTTCAACATAAATAAATACAGAGCAAAGTGTGTCACTCATTTATGCTTCGATGGAAATAATGTACAAAAGCAGGTGAAAGCTGAGACATTTGTGCCACACGGAATAGAAATACATCCTGCGCTGTGAGAGGCTTAACAGTGACTTCCTGTTACTCAGATAGAAAGTGCTTAATGGAGCAGAAGGTGTTCCAGTAAGCTGATGTCTTGAAGCAGAAGGCTGATTATCTCAGATCCCGCATGAATGAAAACAAAACTGCTTTCCAGTGTGAAGAGGGAACAACATTCATCAGCTAGTTTTGTTTAGCCTGTTCGTGTTTTACTGCAGCCGTGCACAAGGCAAATTAAAGGTAATCTTTTCTTCTGTTTGGGTAGCAGTGTGACTAAAACAGATGGCAGCGGCTGCAACATGACCCTGCCAAGCCTGTTGAGTCACACGAGATGCCAGTAATTTAATCAAGCTGAACGCCATTAGGTTAGTGGTTTGGCAACCTGAACATGAGGATTAGTAACTTCCATCAGGGAGGTAGGAATTTTAAAGAGGACATTTTGAGGTGTATCTAAAAAGAAGAAGACATGTTTACTGCTGCTGTTTGCTGGGTCACACCTGCACAAGTTATTTCAATATTTGGGTCATTTGGCCACTCGCAGCTGGCCAACAACACATGGCCCTGTGGCCCGCAGTATTTTTAGCAATAACATGCTTTCATTCTGAAAGTAATCTACAGAGCTATTGCTATCACAGAAAAAAAAACATTTAAAAGTCAAAGAGCATCAGCCTTCTGTTAATTTCCAGTGACTGAAGCTTTTAGCACAGATTTGAATGTCTCTAATGTGGTTGGAAACAGAAACTTGTAAAATTATGACATTTGACTGAATTCCATTCGGTTTGTGACCGCAGGTGATGATGTCAGGGAGACAGAGGAGCACAAATCCTCCCACAGACTACAGGAAGAAGACAGCGATTGTCCCAGAGACTCAGGCTGCTTCATCCCGTCTGAATGCTCAGACAGCAAGGAGGACACGGAGCAGCTCACAGACACTGTGGATTCTTAAAGTGATTACTTGTCAGATGGACACTTTGACATTTGAAATTCAAAGTTCTTATGGAGATTATCCCTTCATTTTCTCCAAATGTCATGTTGTTATCCCTTATTCCACAAGCTAGCCACAAGCTTGCCTAATGTAGAAGCTTTTCAAAAGTGTAATATGTATAGGAAGAAACAAACAACACATATTATAAATGTCATCTTATCCATTTGTCACTTTATCAAGATAATAATCAAGCTGTAAGATTCTTGATTTTTTTTTATTTTATGTTGTTGTGTGACATGTCCTTGATTAAATGTCACTTGTATTTATTGCATTCTAAATCATTCAGTGTTTTCCATATAACGCCTTTATTTATCAACATCTGCATCATTTTGACCTTCCTCATCAAATCCAATCTCAGCTCAACATTTCCCCATGAATTATTGATGAATTAGGTGAGGGGATGTTTTTGCAATGGGTTTAAACAATGCGTATTCAAATACTGCCTATAATGTATACTGTACAGAAAAACTGTTATTTTCTGAAAGTGTGTGTGTGTGTGTGTGTGTGTGTGTGTGTGTGTGTGTGTGTGTGTGTTTGTGTGTGTGTGTGTGTGTGTGTGTGTGTGTGTGTGAGAGAGAGAGAGAGATAGCCTGTGTGTGCACTCATTCAACTGTTTTCACAACTTTTTGTAAATAAAATAAAGAATGACATACAATCAAATGTTTTTTTTTGTTATTATTATATTACGATTATTTATTTTCTACCAGCCTAAATAGCCATGAATTAAATATAATTGATTTCAACATAACTGAATACATTTTTACTTTAAGTTTAATTAATTATTCTCCTAATTTTTATTTAATTTAATATTTTATTTTTACACTTTATTTGTTTAACCTCAGCTGTCCTGGCTCTCCCTGATTGGCTAAAAATACAGAACGTCACGATACCTTCGTTTTACATTGCATGTCGCTGGGGTCGACGGGAAGTGTAGTACAAAACTCACGTCTGCCGCGCTGTCCAATGCCGTCGACGGTGCACACTGTAAACTACATTACCCAGCACCCACAAGGAGGAGTGCAACGTTGACGTGTATTTTGTTGCTAGTCTAAAAACTTCCTATTTCGCATCATCCAGCTGTCAGAGCCGGACATCATTTAACCGCAATTTTAACATTTCTCACCGACATTTTGTGATATTTCAGCTGTCGGTGACCTCGCGACAGTGTGTGACGATGTCCGGAGAAATGTCTATGATCGGTAAGTTGAATACTGCTTTCATTAACCGTAGACTGTATGCTAACACATGAGCTAACCGGTCTGGTCCACCTGTAATACGCGGGTTGTTACCGTGCCACAGGTTCCGTCATCCTGGCCCTGTTCCTGGCTGGGTACTTGGGCCAGCAGTACTTACCGCCCCCCAAACCGAAGGTGATCGGCCTGGATCTGGGCACCACCTTCTGCTCTGTCGGCGTCTTCCACCCGGGCAGCGGGGAGGTGGAGGTGATAGCGGATGAAGAGGGGAGGAAGAGCATCCCCAGCGCCGTCTCATTCACCTCCACCGCGGTGCTGGCTGGACATGAAGCCGTGGACCTGGCCGACAGCAACCCCCAAAACACCATCTACGATGCCAAGAGGTTCATCGGGAAGATATTTGAGCCGGAGGTCCTGGGGCAGGAGAGTGCTCGGTACCCGTTTAAGGTGGGTCATGGGTCTGATTGTGGACTAACGTGAGTTCTGGTGGAGTCACTTTCATCCAAGTCTTTTTAAAGGGGATCAGCAGTAGAACAGAACATTCCTGTAATCCCCTCCCTCCTCACTCACACTGTTTCTTTGCCCTCTCTTCCAGGTGATTAACAATAATGGAAGTGCAGAGTTCCTGGTGACCACCAACCATACCTTCACTGTGAGCCCAGAATTCATCGGCTCCAGGCTGCTGCTGAAGATGAGGAAGATGGCCGAGCAACAGCTGGGTGTGCCCATCCAGAAAGCTGTCATCTCAGTGCCCGCAGAGTTTGACGAGAGACAGAGGAACTACACCGTCAGGGCCGCAAACCTCGCCGGTCAGTTCCCTCATCATTTAATGCTGACTTTGGATGTCCTTTGTGTATTTTTTGCACCTGTGACCAAATGGATTTCCATGTTTGGATAATAAAGTTAAACTTGAGGTAACACTAACATTTGCAGACACGTCCTGCTACTGGTATACTTGGATATATTTCAACTTATAAGATCCATAATGGCCTTCCTTTGCCAAAAGCATTAAATATACAAGCTCCACGCTCTGCATTAGTCATATAGCTACCATATAGTGTGCATTCTTTACTTTGTCTTGCAGGCCTGGAGATCCTGCGTGTGATCAATGAGCCCACGGCTGCAGCCATGGCCTACGGCCTGCACAAGGTGGATGTGTTCAACGTGCTGGTGGTCGATCTCGGGGGAGGAACCCTGGACGTTTCTCTGCTCAACAAACAGGGAGGCATGTTCCTCACCAGGGCCATGGCAGGTAAAGTGTTTCACTGCTTCAGTAACATGAGATAGGAGGTGATATGAGCCCACTGAAAAAAAAAGCTTTGCCCTTTGTTAATGTTCCAGTTAAAGACTCGCATTATGATTTTACTCTGATGATTGAAGTGGATCAGTTGATAATAATACGTGGGCTGAACACTCACCTGGATTCACCCCGTTTCACAGAAAGAGTGGGTGTCTGATATCCGCTCAGATAATAATCTGGTTTATTTTTGGCGTCTTTAGTCTGAAACTTGTCGAAGCAGCGTTTTTTTTCTAAATTCGTTGTTGCTGGAGTAACAGTGGCCTAATCTTAAAGTGGGCTGTGTTTTTTTTTGGCAGGGAATAACAAGCTGGGAGGACAAGACTTCAGCCAGAGGTTGCTCCAGTACACCACAGAGCGGGTCCGACAGGAGTTTGGCGTCCCACCCACTCTCAAAGAGGACATCCATCGCCTCCGACAGGCTGTGGAGGCCGCCAAGCTCAACCTCACCCTCCAACCCAGCGCCACCATCAGTGTGCCGCTGCACCTTCGCACCCTCACCGGCTCCGAGGCTCCCGAAGGCTCTGCTCCCGCTCCGGTTCTCTTCCGGGCTGTGATCACTCGCGAGCTGTTCGAGGAGCTCAACGAAGACCTTTTCCAGAAGATCCTGGCTCCCGTTGAGACCGTGCTAACCGAGGGTCGCCTGGAGAAAGAGGACGTGGATGAGATCGTTCTGGTTGGAGGGTCCACCAGGATACCGCGGATCAGGAGGCTGATCAGCGAGTACTTCGGGAAGGAGCCCAACACATCGGTAGACCCTGACCTGGCTGTGGTTACAGGTGTGGCCATTCAGGCTGGCATCATGGGCGGCTCCTGGCCTTTACAAGTGAGCGCTATAGAAATCCCCAACAGACACCTGCGCAAGACGAACTTCAGCTAATCTTTATCCAGGTTGAGATAAAAGTGACGCCACAGAGACTTGCCACTGATTCCTAACTGAACTCCTCTTAAAGGACCGGTGTGTGGCATTTAGTGGCATCTAGTGGTGTTTTTGCAGATTGCAACTCACTCGCTTCACCCTCCCTTTCCAAGCACAAGGGAGAAACTGCTGTGGCCGCAAGTCAGTTTGTCCATTCTGGGCTACTGTAAAAACGTGGTGACCTGTGGTGTCTGTAGATAGAAACGTCTCTTTAAAAGGTATCAAACATAGAATAATTCTTATTTTCAGGTGATTATAGACTAATAAATTCATACCTATGAATATTATATGCCATTTCTGCCAATAGATCCTGCTCAATGTTACACACTGGACCTTTTCAAGTGCAGAATTTCAAATCTGCTGAAGTGACCTTCTGTCACCTGAATGAAGACATGCAAGATACTCAGGTTTTTCAACTTATCTCATGCTTGTTTGTGAAAGGCAGCAGTAGCCGAAATAGATTTATACCGATGATTATGTACTGAAACACGCAAACATTCCTCTCTGAGGCAAAGTAACTGATAGCATCTGCAGAAGTGAACAGTCCTGTTTCCGTTTTTTGAAGCGGCAGTGTTCTCACATGTATCTACTGACCCATTCAGCTTCATCGGTGGCACTTACTCGTGGTAGATACTTCAGATGGCGTTCAGTTCAGGACTTTAAGGACTAAAATAATAACCAGTAAATCTTCAGCTATTTATTTATTTATTCCCACTAATTGTGTGTTTCTGTGTGTGTGTTTCTGTGTGTGTGTGTGTACGTGTGTGTGTGTGTGTGTGTGTGTGTGTGTACGTGTGTGTGTGTGTGTGTGTGTACGTGTGTGTGTGTACGTGTGTGTATGTACGTGTGTGTATGTACGTGTGTGTACGTGTGTGTGTGTGTGTGTGTACGTGTCTCAAAAGCCCTTTAATGTATTTCTACACATTTCCTTCAAAGGTTGACATACAGTGTTTGTGCCTGTTCAGAAAGCTGCTATATTCTTTGAAGTGCAGAGGTGAACCACTGCCCCCTAGTGGTTCCACCAGAGGGCCTGGTCCAGGTCCCTGCACAAGTCCACTGGAGGTCACTGGGGACACAATTAATTTCAAGATGAAGGTTCATGATTGAGAAAGCCTTAATGTTCACACAGTACTGTAAATCATGAATCATCTGCATCACCTCTGTTTAAATAAAATACAGACTGCATTATTTGTAAGTGACATGCTCAGTGCTGCACTTTCAGGACTTCCACCTGTTGGCCAACTTTACATTTTTGTGCAATAGTGTATGCTTTATTTAAACGGCTTAAGATATTTGTGCTGCGTATCAAGAGTGAAGAACAACAGCCTGCTTTTGCTGCTGTAGGTAGAGAAGGTCAACTCTGGTAGTCCCATAGGTGGACCAAAGCATTGCTTACTGGTGCCTTTGTGTGTGTGTGTGATGTATTTGTGATTGCCTGAAATGTGAGAGATGGGAGATTTGTTTAATCATTTAGTGTGAAGAATGTGTGTGTGTTCACTTGCTCTTAGTGTGGTGGACAGTAGGCTGGTTATTGTACATCCAGCATTAAAGTTAATTTGTTTCCGAAGTTAAAATGGTCCAATATCAATGTTTTCAACCATGAACTCCAGTTACCTACTTTCCTTTAAAAGCATCACAACTTGTTTTTGCCAAATGTCGTTCATGACTATTTACTTAATTATTTTTTTTTTAAATGTTTTTCTCACACGGGATCTAAGATGTAACCGGGCCTCTAGTAAGAATGAAGCAAATTTGAGGCTATGCTGTTTGTCTCTGTATAAATCATCAGTCTGTATTGACATAGGGAGAAAAAACTATGAAACTATTTTATATTTCTAGCCACCTAAAAAAAACAAAAGAAGTTGAACTGTTATGACCTACTTTTCAGCCAATTAAATGTACATTTTCTAACTTCTTGATTGTCTGTTTATTTTGAGGAAAAGTCAATTACCCAACCTACACAAAGTACTTCACTTACTCATCAAATGTTGTATCAAGATCCTCCAGAGGTTGGAATTGATGTTCTTGAGAACATGTAAAGGAAGATACTACCAACTTTTATGGCTATTTTTCAAAACTTTTTTTTGTCTGAGGACTGTAATTTAATTCTTAACTAGTTCAGAGTCAAGAAGGGGGAATCCATATCACCTTGCACTGATACCTATACATGAATAAAATAAGCTGTACCTGGGTTGTATAATAATTTTAGCATCAACAGTTCGAGAACTGGCTTTTCATGTTCTAGTGAACAGACGTGTCCCTTTAAGATTTGCAGTAGCACACTTTAGCCTCCTGGCAACTAATAACTCTTCTTGACACTTTAAAGATTTATGTGGACAAACACCGTCGCTGATGACAGGAGAAGGAAAAACACAATGCCGAGAGAAATTCTCTCTTACAAACCTGTTAATGTAAAAAAGGCTGGAGACTCTTGAGCATGAAAACCTTGTATCTCCCATGAGAACAGCCTCCTGTGATTCTTCAGAACAAAACAGCTAGAATAGATAGTAGATTTTTTCTTTAATGTTTACTTTAGAGGCACAGTAATACCAAAAGAAAGAAAATAAACAAAAGGCAATCCATTTCTTGACCCCGTGCTGCCTCTTGTGATACCTGTAGCGTCCCTTCAATTAGCTTAGAGCTTTATTTTCACATTTAGCACCCACTTCATTAACCTTACAGCATTCAGTTTTACACCAGCAACCAACACTTAGATGCACTGTGTATGTTAACACTAAAATACCACAGACTTAACTGCAATTCAGAGGCTGAATAGGAAGTGAAATGACTCCCATCATGACCATACTATTGCTATTCAACAGTTCATCACTGTCACATTAGTTGGCTGGAGCATCTCACACATTGGTTCACCTTTTATGTACAATAACACATTCAACATAGCACTGCACACAGGGTAAAAAAAAGATGTACCCAGCCAGAATACACACAATACACCGTACACATCTTTAAAAAAAAGAAGAATCCAAACACATTCACATTAACCATAAAAAGACAGCACAAATGTTCACCCCCCCAAAACCATTTTCACCAGTTCCTCCGGTTGCACTGGGAGCACAGCTCACGCACGTCAGTTGATATGATCATTACACTTATATGCACTGATCAAAGTTAGGGCAGGGGAGGGGAGGGGGGGCATTCAGCCTCTATCAAAATAATTATCTTACATACACCATGTGAATATTTCACTTGGAGGAGAAGGCAGGACTTCTGTAAACAGCTTGTTTGTGTTTTTTGTTTTTCTCTTTAAATATAAATATTAATATTAGTACTATTATGAACAACAGCACATTGGTGTGCTGACAGAAGGCAGGAGCATAACGAGCTGTTAGCGTTTCGTCTCATGCTGCAATAAAGCCTCGTAAAAAGCCTTGTTAAGAAGAAATTCATCTGCTAAGAGAAGAACATCGTGTACAGTGGTTAAAAACAAGGAACTGCTTTGGAAAATTAGCTTAAAATAATAAAGAATCCGGAAACGCATCTTTAATCAAGAAGCAGGCATTGGTAACTCAGAGGGGCCTCTCGGACATTTAGATGTGAGAAAGGAGGCCGTGGATTTGGCGAATTCCATTAATAAAAAGTGCATGTAGTCTAATGTGATATACAGAATGTCTGACAAGCAAAAAAAAAAAAAAAACTCTAAACTATTTACAGAATGTACACAAAAGCAACTGGGTGGTTGTTTTCTCCGTCAGATACAGCAGTCTGTCAGTTAATCAGTAGGACAGGGGAGGAGGACAGACTTCACACTGACTGAAACAGGAATGATGTGAACACCGACAGTGTTGTCGTCTCCGTCTTGCTACAGCAGATTCACACAGGCTGAGTCCCAATCACTGGCTAATGCCCTGATTGGTGTAGTAGTCGTAGCCATTGTCCGCGTACAGCTCATCAGCACTGCTAACTCCATTCCCCACCTCTGGAGGGCGGCAAAGGATAAAAAAAAAATAAAATAAAGGAAAAAAAAAAGTCAGTGTACTGTATGATGGCAACGGCCTCAGTTTCACAAGAAAACAATCAGCTTTGGTCATTAAGTGAAAAGATGAATGGGAAAACGATGAAGAACATCAAAAAGGGGACAATGATGTGACTCACCTTTTACCCCCAGCACTAGAGCCCGTCTAGACAGACTAGGGCGTCTATAAACTCCCCTACACATGACGTTGTTTCCAGTGGGAGGATTATGGGGGAGGTTTGGTGCATGAAGGGATGGGTGGATGGGGGGGGGGGTGTAGGCACAGTAGGCAGAGAAGTGGCGGGTAATGAGGGATGCAATAGATGCATGGAATAAAGGAAGAAGTCACACTGGTGGTAGCATGGACAGGAGGTGGTGCACATCACACAGGCCGCTACTGGGGTTGACCTTAAACAGGGAAGAGAGGAAGAGGAGGAAGAGTAGGAGCGAGAACATTCACAAGACATTCAAGAGAGATGCATGCTGGGATGGAGTGACATGCTAACTGGGCGCCTGAAACTCAAAAATGGCCAATTCCTCATCTTTAAGCTAAAAGTGTCAGAAACTGATTATTTTTGTGAAATCAGCAAATCAAAACGGTAAAGTGCAAAGAGAGGAATTTGTTTAAGAGTTCAGGAGTCCAAACAACAACAACAACAACACACAACAAAACATCCAAGAGTGACAAACATACATGTCCCTCCGGTTTCCGTGTGAGGGTCTTACCAGAGAAGATGAGTTTCTCCTTCATCACGTTGAGGTCTCTGCTGGACCTCCTGACTGCAGCGCTCAGCATGATCTGTTCAGGGTTGTAGCTGCGCATGCCGCTCATCCGATACCTGCAGAGGTCACATGTGAGGTCAGAGATCTCCTAGAGGCGACGATGATGTCACCAAATACTGCTGCCTTTGCTCTCAATATGCAGGTTAGGGGGTCGAGATATTGGTCCATAGAGGGGTGACATTTAAATCGTTAGAAGGAACTATGGAGTTGGTGTACAGGCCTAGCTCTGTTTAATGGGAAACTATTATGTTTCACTTTCTCTGAGCAAACAGAATCCTTATCTGATGATCTGGTTTAAAGGAAACTTGTTATTGTAAGTTTTAAAATGAGCACTAAATTATGGGTACCACTTTCTGAAAGGGCACCCTTTTTTAAATGTCAGTTGTAACTAATGGCCTTTTAATAGTACTAATACTTTCTATGTGGTAAGTAAGTAGTTGGTAAACCATTAATAAATTCTTAATAATTAATGGATTCTGGTCCAGATGCTCTGTAGCCCTTTTCCAGAGAGTAAGTGTTCATACAGTCCAATTACTGAAAGTGACATTTCACAACCTGGCAACCCTAAAGTAGCTTTTATTAATGGCTTATAACCGATCCATTAAGCATTAGTAAATGACTTACGATCCGCTGATAAAGCTGTTGGCTACAACTTGTAAAACCTTTATATTGGGTGCCTAATTAGAAAGCGTTACCAAAATACGTAATATTATGATTACAGTGTGTGCGGTAACTACTAGAATAGAGCTATATTTATTCTATCCCTGCAGTCATTTATCTAATGAAAATACCCTCTTAATGATTACTAAAATAATTAAATGCTAAACATTTTGCTTTATTCTGTGAAATGTGTAGGCCGTGATCTTCTAATCAACATTTGTCGTTGGGGCAGATGATCACTGTCTGGATTTAGCTCTGTACATCAGTCAAATCAGAGGAATTAATTTTCTGTATGCGAAACCGGCGTCCTCGCTTTAATGAAAACAGCCTTGATTTCAATTAACCTAACTGAAGAGCATTAGTCACCATCAACTGTGACTAATGGACAGTGGCATTTAGAAACAGAAATGCAAACAGGCACCAATAAAAGCCAATGCTGAAGCACTTCCGCTGATGAACGCGTATCCGTAGCTCATTTTGGACGTTTAGTCATTTGGTATAATAAGATGGATAATAGATTTTAAATCTCATTGGGGACTTGGTGCTGTGGATATTTTGTGCTGTGTGGGTGGAAAGCATTCATTTTATTTAGCTCACAGAGATAAATAGAGACATGAGCTCCTCCCTCGAGAGGAAAGTGGCAGCAGTGCAGTACAACGACTCAGGTGAGATAGAGGGAGAGAAGTGAGAGAGATAAAATAAATATAGAGATGCAGTGGAAGTAAGGTGGAGAGAAAAAATCTGATGGAGATCGGTGTCATAATAAGGAGAGTGACTGAAAAACAAAATAGAGAAAGAATGGAAAACAGAGGAAGAGAAACCCAAAGAATGCATCAAACAAAAGAAGGATGGATAAAGATAGTGACGGACAGAAAGAGAGTGAAAAGAGAGAAGACTTTGGGTCAGAAGAGGTGACCCAGTTACCTGATCATGTGATAGCTGAGAGAGGATGCCAGAATGCAGCAGAGGAGGAGAAGAGCATGCACGTCAGGCAGAGGAGAAAGGACGAGGAAGAAGCGGAAGGACAAAAAAAGGACAAAAGAAGGCAGGAGACAAGAGAGGTCAGTTTAGAAGCCAGCAGAAGCTACTGAAAAGCTCGGCTAAGCAGAGAGAACCCGCACCGGACCGTAAAGAACAAAGATCAGTGGCCTCCATCCCAGAGAGGACAGCGGGACAGGCCATCTGTCTCTGGAGATGTCACAGAAACAAACAGAACCACACTCTCCACCAGAAGAACAGAAATACTGGAGGAGTGTGCAAGGTTTACACAGTTTAGCTAAGAGAAGACACGCTCATATAAAAGTATACAAATCTTCTGTCACCTCTGGTTTGTGACAACACTGAGGTGCAACAGGAGAGAATAGTGAAAACACATCATAGCAGCTTATAAAAACTTCATAACACATACATGTTTTTAAACAACCCTGCGTTGTTTGCAGCCTTTCCTTTGAAGGTCTTTATTGGCAAAATCATTAAAAAAGTGATTAAAACACAA